TGTTTTTAAAACATCGATGTTTTGTTACCGATATTCGATTTTTTTTAAAAGGTTCGATTAAATTTATATCTCTGAAACTAAAGTTTCAAAAAGAGTCGGGTTACTATATCTACAAATTCATTTACCCACCAGTAGCTCTGCCAGTAGATATAAAATACATTTTTGGTAAACTCTGTCTCAAATAGTTTCTGAAAAATAAAACTATTTTTTTAAAAGGTCCAATTAAATTTATATCGTCGGCTTTATGACGAAAAGACGTATCTCGATTTTTGGCGATTTTGAGATATCAACATCATAACATGCCCAATGGGTCATATTTTAACATAGCGAATTTGCGCATCTCAATATTGTAAATTTTTCATTTCATATTCGTTTAAAAATTTGCCCCATCTCATATACTACAATTCTTCGTTATGACGAAGAGACGTATGTTGAAAGAGGGCTCTTTGTTATATCAATTGTTATACTACAAGAAAGATGGAATTTGAGATAGGTCCTTTTGTTTTAAGTTATGAAAATGCATGCGAGAGAAAATCACACCATTCTACCTAATTATTTTCTGATGGTTGCTTGGGACAAAATAAAACTTCTATCATGGCAGCAGCTCTCTTTTACAGTGTGATTTTGAGTCTGTTTTTTTGCTAGAAACCATTGTTAGAATGAGCTAGACTCTGCACATAGCTGTATCGGGTAATGCAAAAGATTGTCCGAGAATAAATGGGCGAAGAAAAATTGATCGAAAGCAAAACGACGAAACGAAAATTGCCCTAATGGAAAAATTCCCGAAATTATAATTTCCCTAAGAACATTTTAGCGAACCAAAAACTTGCCCGAAAAATACAATAATTTTTATCTCATTATCATTGTCAGGCCATTGGCATTGTCATCCCTGTCAATTTTTGGAAAATTTTATTTATTGTGCCCCTATTGTGCCTATCATCATCCTGCAAAAACACGTAGAATGGAAGCCGAATTTGTTATCCTTGAACAGGGAAAACAGAAACTGTTAGTCCACAGTTATTTGTATCAAAAAGGCACGAATGAAGAAACATGTTTTGTTTTTGTTTAGTTTGGTTTTTATTAAATGGACCGTGAGTTTAAAATGCCTTGTATTAATGCCCTCAATTAACTGAATAATTACTAAAAATATATTAGTTAAAAAATGTATTTTTGTATAAAAAACAATATTATTAAAATAAGCTAGATAAGTGTATTTTAATTGATTATTGTCTTTGCTTCTGGAATGAAAATTGTCTTTGTTTTCAGTTGATCTAATCCAACGCGAATAAAAGTATTTAAAAATATTTGTTTCTGATGGTGATTTGTTCTTTTTTGGTGATTTTCAGATTTTTTTCTGTATGTATGTCTTGTATTTTCTTGTATGTATTCCATAATGTGAATATTGTATTTTTTTTCCTTATTAAGAACACTTTACAATCATTTTTAAATTTATTTTACGTGGGTACTATTCGTTCGGAAATAAATTTATTATCCTATTTCTATTAAACAACTAAAAAGAAATTATTTATTAGAATTTGCGCACAATTTATCTTCAGAACGTTTCCTCAATATCTCCGTTTAAGTGTTAATACAAAAACACTATTAAAAAATTAAAGACTTTACATTTATTGGAGAAATAAAGTAAGTGATTTTCTTTAAATTGCTCCTGAAAAGTAGCAAAAATCGAGATACGCCTTTTCGTCATAAAGCCGACGATATCTCCGAAACTAAAGTTTCAAAAAAAGTCATACTATATCTACAAATTCATTTACCCACTATACAGGGTGCTACAAATTCGAGATACCAGCATTGGTATCTACGAGCATTAGTATCGTAACGACGCGACGTATCGACTAACGACTTTGAATCGATTTCCATTAATTCTATTGGCTGTAATTCAATTTCAGAAACTATTTGAGACAGAGTTGGACAGAGTTTCCCAAAAATGTTTTTTATACCTACTATACAAGGTGCTACAAATTCGAGGTACGAGCATTGGTATCTCGGTAACCGTAATAGATACGAACATGGTTAAATTGCAGCAACGTTGTGCTTTGGGATGTTCACCAAGATGTCATCAAAAATTTCAAGGATTGCTAAGTTTTTTGAAAAAAAACTGATTTTTTTTAAAATCAATTTTATTTTTTCCTGTCGTTACTCTTTAGAAAATCAAAAAACTATTTGCACATTCTCATAGCCACTTTATTAGGGCTATCTGACAGTATTTTTAGATTTTCAAATTAGCTCATAATTTTTGAGATACAGAGGCGAACTTAATTTTTTTAAATACGGACCTGCATTTTTTATTTCATATTTTGAAAGAACTCGGTCTCCTGAATACAATGATATACCACACTTTATACTTATTGTTGTTTTGGATACCTTAACAGCAACAAAACTATTTAATTATTATTTAAAATAATTTCAAGTCCGACTCTGGTTTCTTAAATTATTTAATCTGATTATATTCATCGCAACAATATTGATCAGCGCTAATTAACATTGAAGAAGGAAAATCGAGCCAATTGGAAGATTCAAATAATCAATATCCAGGTCAGAAATTTAAAGATATTATTTTTAAGTTTTTTTATTGAGAATTTGAAATCTCAGTGTGCGATTTAATAATATGCATAATATTAATCGTAGTTATTATAAATAAATCAACTTCTACAAACTAATTTCTAATGTTCTGCATGTTCGAAAGGGTTACCACCGTCCCTATTGCACAAATTTATTTTTCGCTCAATTTTATTTATAGCTCTCTGAACTTTCTTTTTATAGCTCTTATACTTCCGAATGCATTTTGTCTCTTTATTGTAGATGTTGAGATGAATTGATTTCACTTTTACAAATGACATCAAATAATGTAGCCCCTTGGCGATAGGTCCAGGAACCTCGCTGGACATTATACTGTTCTACCATTTCCAATCCATCGTCCGGGAAAATGATTTGATTGTTTATATCACATTATATTTATATTAATTATTTTATTGCATTTGATTTTCCGTATTCAATGCTTTACCCCACGTCATTGTTAAGTTCGAAAGCTTATCAATATTGTAACGATGAATAGATTAAATACTTAAAAAAAATAGAGCCGGTCTTGAAATTAGTTTAAATAAATTGTGTTCAAAGGTCAAAACAAAAAAAAATTAAGTGTGGCATATCATTGTACTCACGAGACCGAGTTTTTTCAAAATCTGAAATAAAAAATGCAGGTCCGTATTTCAGGTCTGTATCTCAAAAATTATGAGCTAATTCGAAAATCTAAAAATACTATCAGATAGCCCTAATAAAGTGGCTATGGGAATGTGCAAATAGTTTTTTGATTTTCTAAAGAGTAACGACAGGAAAAAATAAAATTGATTTTCAAAAAAATCAGTTTTTTTCAAAAAACTCAGCAACCTCGAAATTTTTAAAACTTTTTGGTGACATTTTGGTGAACATCCCAAAGCGCAACTTTGCCCCAATTTAACCATGTTCGTATCTATTACGGTTACCGAGATACCAATGCTCGTACCTCGAATTTGTAGCACCCTGTATAGTAGGTATAAAAAACATTTTTGGGAAACTCTGTCCAACTCTGTCTCAAATAGTTTCTGAAATTGAATTACAGCCAATAGAATTAATGGAAATCGATTCAAAGTCGTTAGTCGATACGTCGTTCCGCTTTTTCTAGGATGATGTGGAATGTGGATGCACCCTCGCAACAACCTAATCATAAGTTTTGTTCGTTTTCTTGTTATTACCGATTCTGAACCGTCCTAGAACTGTGATGCGTATGCGCAGAAGGAAATATGAAGACATTATTTCATTTGCGCATGCGCTGCAGAGTTCTAGGACGGTTCAGAATCGGTAATAACAAGAACCCGAAAAAAGCTATTATCAATATCAACGCAATAGCTTGCAAAGAAAGCGCATTTCAAAGCTACTTTTCTTGCAATCCATCAATAAAAAATTCTGGGACGTAAAATAATTGTTCTTGTCACAGATAATAAAAATTAATTTATGTCCTAGAATTTTTTATTAAGAATAGATATATTTTTTTTGTTTTTGTTACCAATTAATTCATCCAGAAATATACTTTTTGTCGTAAAATACCTCAATATTTTTTCTATTGTGTCGTAAATAATTTATTTCCGTCGTCTATTCACTATACAATAATAAACTGTATTGTTGCGAGCCGGTGTGTACCAGTATATATGCCTGATTTATTTCAAATATTTTAATTTGAAAATAACTTCCAGTAAATACAATACCTACTTTGCGAACGTCAGAATACGCGTACGTTTACCGGGTGCGTCTCAAAAGTGGCTCACCCCTTTTTTGATATTTTCAGATAAAAAAATGACAATTGCTATGTTAGTATATGACAAAAATTAGAATTGATTGACGTATGAAGAAAAAACCAAAAGTTGAAATGACTACAACTTTTGGTTTTTAAATGGCACCCTCGGTATATATCTATTTTATTCGAAAGAAAATGACACTCATAATGACATATCATATATCAACTTTTGACATTTTCGCATATGGTTTATTTGAAATTGTAACATGCGGTTCATAACGACAATTTGACTAGAAATACCAAGTGTGTGGTATCAAATTATTCGTAAAAAAATGCTTTTTCCAAATATGGTAATGAACTACCCTCGTTCCATTTGAAAAAATTGAGATATGGTCAAAAATACGATTTGGGCATCTTTTAACCTGCCAGGACAAGACACTAAAAACATTAGACAATCAAATCTATTTTTCCAAGGCTACTTGCTTAAAAATTAGTGTTTTTAACACAGTCAGTTCAACAACATAATATATAAACAAACACATATAACAACATATGTTATCTATGATGATAAAGCATGGATATAAAGCGATAAGTGCCACGACTATTAATTGTATTGAAATAATAATTTTGGCACAATTATTTACTCAGTCTTCAATTTCTCTTGGTGTATTGAAAAGCGCTCATCAAAAAGAATAATACATAACCCCGATAATGAAAATTTTTTGACAACACCCTTTAATACTTTAAAATAAATTTATTATTTACAATACCAATTATTCGCATTTCTCAAATGTATAATATACTCTTCCATCTGATGGTTTCTGTGGTGGCGTAACAGGATGGAACATTTTCATGTCTTCAAAGAAATAAAATAATCCTAAGCTAACAGCCATCACACTCAAAAACTGAAGTACCAGTATACTGATAGGTTTGGGAAGATTAGGACTAATGTTAACACGATCCTCTCTGTATGTTTCATAGTCTACGTGAATCTAAAAATAATATGTTTTCTTTACCACTTTATTTACGACTTCATACATAAGATAAAGAATGGCTCACTGTTGTGAAATTATGTGTAAAAAAATTCAGCGAAAATTTCAAATACACCATGTATACAGGGTGTCCCAATATTCCGTAGACATAGAACTACTACGTATTTTTGGAATCAAAATAAGTTCATTGGACATAATTTACCTCTATACAAAAGGCTTCGTTTGTACGCTAGAGGGCTTTAAACTTTAAATAAATAAACAAATTTTTTCAGATATTTTAAGAACCGTTATTCCGATTTGAATGAAATTTTGGGTGTCTATGTTTTGCTAGGTGCTTTAACATTTGACTTTCTCAAGAATCAAGAAAAATTACGGCAATTAGTTGGCGAAAATATGGAAAATTTTATGTTAATATCACAAATTATATTTGACAACAAGCTTCATAAAAAGCTTAAGAAAATAATAAATTTTAAATTAATTAACATTCAGATTTATTTTTTACTGATGTCCTCTATCGGTGTATAAAGGTAAATTATGTGCATTAACTTATTTTGGTTCAAAAAAAAAACGTAGCTGTATGTATATTTTGTAGGTCTGCTTTGCAAAAATAAATTTTCCAAAAAAAATTTTCTCAAAAACTATGTGATGTGGCGTTTGACAAGAGACAAAAAATGTAGTAAATACTAGAGAAAACCCGCCATCAGTGAAGTTGAAAAATACTTCTACTAAAATTTATGTAGGGGTGGGGTAGTTTTCACCCTTCCCGTACTTTTTCTCGATTTTTGTGAAAGTAAAGTGTTAAAGCACTTAGCAAAACATACACACCCAAAATCTCATTCAAATTGGAATAAAATCGGTTTTTAAAATCTGATTTAATTCACGGAATATTGGGACACCCTGTGTAATGTAGGATAATACTTCTTTCTACTTGTAACTAGATATTCAAAATTATTCGAGATAATGTTATGGTCAAAATTCCTACGTACGGGTTCATTAAAGTTCCTTTTTAGTGCTGGAATATCATAGGGGTAAAAAGGATCTTTATTTTCAACCGACTCCAACGGTAATTCTGGATAATCGCCAAGACCCGATCCATTATCGGCATACGGTTTATACTCGGCTAGAGGAATACCGTACCTCGCGGCAGCTTTGGCTCTCTCCTCCTCAGTATGAGGGTAAGGCCTCGGCTTGAAATCCTTGTTCCAATCTTCAATATAGAAATTATGTAATAACGGATTGCCATTTAATATTATACACTTAACTTACGGTTTCTGACGGCTATTAACGTGCGGGGAGTTACTTTAAATAAAGAATTCACTAACTTTGAAGAAAGAACAAGCGAATTCATTTCGTATTATTTTTAATAACCCTTTTCAATTTAGACTTCTTTATAACCTCTATGCCTTTGTCTCTGCCTAAGTTGTCAAAAAATAGCCACAGAGTGGCATAGAGTAACTTTTTTCTCTAAGGTTATTAAAAAATTGGGAAAATCTGTGGAAACACAAATCATATCTAATCATATATACAAAAAATATTAATCATATTCATATTTTAATAATTGGCAGTTGGCGAACCTGCAAGCTGCAAGTAGGGATGACAAAATTTCTAAAAAATCGATATTCTATAATATTTTTTAAATAACATTACTCGAAATTCGAAATGTCGACTCATTTGTACAGTACGTCTGCCCGTTCTGTAGCTACGGGGTATCCGTGAGAGGGGAAACGATATTCTCTCCATGTTTTTCGTAAAAAATTAGACGACGCGTCCCATCAATAAAAATTCGACAAATTTGCAAGTAGCCAATAAAATGAGTGGACGGAGCGATTTGCGGTGACGAACTCGTCAAGTCGACGTATAAAATATATTGTTTATTTAAATGTTTTTTGTCCGCATTCCTTTCATAGACACAGATCCAGCAGACGTACTGTATATTCAGCAAAGGTAACATAGCAAAAGCCTGGCAAAAGCTAAAAACATAGTATATGTTATCTGTGATATTCGGTAAAATAACTGAAAAATAACGTACCTATCTTAATTTAACGAACATTGCAAATATTTATTTTTCCGCTAACTCGGTTTTGTTCTTTGAATCTTTCTAACGAGAGTATAATATCAGATAACATTTAACAAGAACAGATAGGTAGATTGTGAGCAAATTCTATCAAAAAATACAGTTCATAGTTGTCAAAGTACATAAGACATGGGTCATAACTAAAGATATGGAAGGAATTACATATCTCTGGTAATAACGTAATAATTATAAATATTTCCGATATTTTGTTTAACCAAATAAATTATAAACATAGACTATAAAATACTTTGATAAAATATAATTAGAAAATATCGATATATTTATCACCATTCGTATACGTGACCATACCTATAAAGTGTTGCCAACGGTATAACTTATTTTACCCTAGTCAAATTTCAATTTCAATTAAATTAAAACTTTCGTTAGTATATTCCAAGTATATTCTGTGATTAAAATCATAAAATAATAAATACAAGAATTAAAACATGCATTCTGCATGCCATAGCTGCATGCATTATATTATATATTAACATTAACTAATTATCATTAGATTTCATATGTATATGTAAACCATATGTAAACATGTTATAAACCAGTAAATTAACAAATTTGTTGAGTTGAATTGAGTTGGATGTTCTATTGTGATTATTGAAAACTTCATAAAAGCTTTGTCCATCTTATTAAATAATTTAGAAGATATTCGATATGGGTGTCGTAAATTTTTGAGTTTGAGGTTATTTGTTGTACACACTCAAATACGTTTAAATTAAACCAAAGTTAAACGTATTTGCTTACACTTGTAGACTTGTACAGCGTAGATGGTAGTCGTAGTAACCCCGCAAAACTTTAGATTATATACCGTAACTTAATTTGAGTATTATACTACCACCACTATGTCTGAATACGATAAAGTTCGTCCAGGCAAGCTTAAATTAAAAGGGGATAAGATCAAGTAAGTACACTGTATTCTATACATTAATTTTAATAATTATTATAGTCTCTATTCAATGCATATATTCCTGAATATTATAGAGATAATAATATTTCGTTATCTGATTGTTAGGGGCAAGAAAAGAAAGCATAAACACAAATCACACGAAGAACATACGCCACAAATCGATGCTGATACAATAAAACATGGCAATTGGTGGCGAATTTCGAAAATAGAAGACATTACTGGCCCTGTTGCTATCGAATTTGGAAAACATACTTATTTAAAAGCCTTAGATAATGGTAAATATATGAATTTGTAAATTGAACTTTGTTAAAAGTGTTATTTTTAGGATTATTCACACTTGGCGCCCCTCACAATGAAGGAGAAGGTCCGTCTCCAGAAGAAATCTTAACAGGTGTTTTTATCAGTGAAAGGAAGGTAGCATTTAAGTCAGGTTACAATAAATACCTGCGAATTGAGAAGAATGGGGTTGTTACTGGCCGTTCTGATGCTATCGGACCATCGGAACAATGGGAACCAATATTTCAGGTAAGACATAAATTTATATAGGTTTTCTCACATAACTTTTCACAACCTGACCAAGTAAGATCTATCAAAAGAAATCAAAGTTAGTATCAAGCATTTTTATAAACTCAAAATTTTTGTTTAAACGTGTCTTCCCAGTTTGTCTTGAATAACAATAAATTTATAGGATCAAAAAATGGCTCTGCTAGGCTGGAATGAATGTTTTATGTCTGTGGACGATGAAGAATCTGTTATAGCAAAATCGAAGAAAGCCAATGTAGAGGAATTTCTTACTATTCGATGTCACACTTTTAAAGAAGCAAATCCTTTGAAAGATGTGCCACAAGAGGAACAGGGAAGTCTTAAACAAGTTGAAATTAATTATGTGTAAGTAATCAATTAAGAGAAACTACAAAAAATTTTAAAAAATAGGAATTAATAATGATTTAATTTTAGTAAGAAATTTCAAAAGTTTCAAGATAAGAGACTTCGGTTGTGCACGGAAGACAGTAAAGATTTAAAGAAGGCTAAAGATGAGGGCACATTCCACGAAACACTTTTGGATCGTAGAAGTAAAATGAAAGCAGATAGATATTGTAAATAAAAATATAATAAAACTGTTAATTCTATGTATTTTTTTAATCTCTATGATTATTTTAAATTATTTAATATATTCTCATTTATTGAAAAATAAATATGAGTATGTCTTGCAAGTTTTGAATTTATTTTATGAATATGGAAATTCTTTACTTAACAGTTGTGCTACTGTACGCTGCGTATGAGGATCCAAATTAATATAATAATTAAACCTTATTTAACTTTCCTCCTATCTTACTACTTTTTAGTAATTATATTTTTTATTAAATGATTTTAATTTAAAAATAAGTTTCAGAATTAAAATAAATACAGAATTAAAAATACATATTTTTAATTCTGTAAATTTTGGTGTAGACAACTTTTAACATTGTTGCATGATTGTTGCTATATTTTTTACTGCAAGTCAAAATAATTAAATATTTGTTTTTAATTTTTTATAAAATCTTACATCGACTCATCCTTGTTTATCATATACCGTATAATAAAAAACGGCCTCCAGATGGCTTGGAAATGACAATCGATGACATTCCCCACTTAATTTTACGTATAAAATGACAGCGATCTTCATTTCATAGCCATACAAATTCAGTAATATACAGGGTGTTTCATTTAAAATAATCAATTATAGTTGAAAGTTGGAACCTTTGGTGTTACAACAAAAAAATAATAAAATTAATTTGTTTTGGTCATCTGCTGATGACGCTAACATGGTTAGCGAAACGCGAGTGCAGTAGGTGCAGTGCAAAAGTAATTGTTAATTCATTGGTTAGTTGGTTATTTGGTGGTGTTGGTTGGTTTTTACCTAAGGTTTTTACTAATTTATATTTGTTTTTTTAGATATTCATTGATTTTCTTTATTATTTGTTTGTAATTTGTAAGTTTGTATCATTGCTGCATGTGCTCACAAGGCAATAATCATAAAGGATAGAAATTAATATGGTGCGCGTATCTTTTTGTTTAAAAAGAGATAAAAGTTGTGTTAATACATTTCTTTAGTAAGCGTAGGCGTTTAGTAGCAAGTAGGCGTTTACGAAAAATGTCGCATCTAGGGTTGGAACTTTATTTTTCACAATTAGTTACTCATTTTACTACAGCTGCAATAGATTATATTTAGCTTAGATATATTATCTTCATTTCAGTAGTATACATGAAAGTTTTTAAAATAGTTTATTTTGTCTACCACAAAACCGGCAACACTGTATGCCGGTTTTTATTTTATCTCTTTGTCTGTAAACCGGTCGTTCATATTTATCTCTGTCGCATGCATTAAAATACAGACCACGCACGGTCCAGGATGGTATATCCATGCATTTTAGTGGCAGGATCGACATCATGACCCCCCGTTTTTGAGGTTTCAATTGGCAAATTTAAATTTGATATGAAATTTTGAGGATTTGTTGGGCTTTTTCAGAGCTTATTTTATGTTCTTCATATTCTACAATTATTGGTTTTGTTCAGAGGTAGTAAATCTAGAATATTGTGCTAGAACTTAAATTAACGGCGACTTTATTGCGAATTCTAGAAAAATACTAAAATAGTACCTATGTTGTGCAGCATGTGGTAATCTCGTACTAAAATCGAGAGAAGTAAGGGAATAACTGATATGAAATTCTAAAATGTACTTTCAATCAAATTCAATTAGAATTAACTAATTATACAAGGTGGTCCGAACTGTATTCCTGAAACTTCGCCCACTTCCCCGGCCCGTTGTTTCGCTTAATATCGCTGATTACATGCTTTACGATGCTGTGTCGTATATAGTGGCTTCGTTGTTTAGTTAAGGACACGGCAATCTACAAGGTGGACCAAACGGTATTCTGGAAACTTGGGCAGCGTATTCTGCAGATAAAAATAAGTAAAAAATTTCGTATAAATGTATGTCCTAAAATGCTGCGTTTCGGAGATACAGGGTGTAGAAATTTCCTTTTTATTTCGATTTTTTCCAAATAATTTATGAAGTAATGTCAATATTCGGATGAAAATTGGTGTCTGGAAGTTTTTCGACATTAGAAATTTGATTTTGATGTCAATATGATTCCTACTTGTAGAGGGCGCCACCTACATATTTTTAAGTGTTTTAAAGAGTGACAATTTAAAACAAAATCAACAAATTAGAGTCTATCCATCCTACACAATGACTAAAGAATCCAACGACAAATAACACCCGAGAGCAAATTGTGACGATGACACCAAACAGTGCGTAGCTTAACCTAGTTTTTCTTAACCTAGCTGTTTGAAGCAATATTTATATTTTTTGATAATTGTTTTGACTACGCCTATGGTGTATCATCCTAATTAATTACGAAAAAAACATATTAAAATGTTAACAAAGGTACAAAACTAGTATCGACGTATAGCACATATCAAGTACATATAGATGTTAATTGAAATTGAAGAATAATTATCGAATTCAATAAGAAAACGCTAAAAAGTTGGAGTGGACTGTTTATTTACCTATGAAACGTAACTCCTGGCTCTTTCTTATCGCTGCTGCTTTTACACTGAAAGCTGAACAACTAATCACCATTGTAATAAAGTTTATACAAAGTTTACTACACACAAACTATTAAAAATCGCTAAAATTGTCGCTGGTGATCAAATGATGACTCATTGTTTGCCACCAAAACAAAAAAAAAGGTCACAAATTCTGCTGCAGCCCGTATAGGGGCGTTACATGTCCTTATATTCTTTAGTCATTGATCCTACATTATATTTTAACACGCAATAAATAAAATTAGAATGGCACTGATAAAAAGTAGGTCATTTTAATCCCCCATCGTGTTCCACCTTAAGTTTGTTGATATGCCCCTTCAGTGAACTTTTTATTCAAAGACTAGAAATAAACAACTTTATAAATATGTGAAATTAATTTATTTCAACTTCCTAATGTAATTAATTATACAATGTCCAAGACTTACATTTTTTTTCCTTTGTTACCTAAAATTTCCAATTTTTTTTTTAATTCTATATATCCTACCGGTCAGTTCAATTTTTAATATTGTGACTTTTTTCCTCTTATTTATAATATGTATCATGGGTTTATTGTTTATAATTTACCTTACAATAATTTCGGCAAAGCAACATAGGCAACCGGTAACGCGGTTGCAGCGTAAATAAAAGTCAGTTTACTAAAATTACTGTAAGGACCTTTGTTAACACAGATTATTATCAGTATAAAATTTGAATTAATCTCCTTAGCTAGACCTCAACTGATCTCTGATTTAGTTCTTGCCGCTTTCAACCATTCAACAAATTCATCCAACATTACTGGCCCTTAAAAAAAAAACAAAGAAAAAAATCAGTGCTGGGCGATACTTTACATCCAAATAATAGTGAAATGGTGTATCTTTTAGTCATTTATATCGGGTGCGTCTCGAAAGTGGCTCACCCTTATAACTTTTTTTTTAGATAAAATAACGACAATTAGTACGTTAGTATATGACAAAAATCAGGATTGACTGACGTATTCAAGTGTTTTTGGTCACTTCCTGTTTCACCGGAAATGATTATTTTTAAATGGCACCCTCGGTATTTTTTTACTTTATTTGATAGAAAATGACATTATGTTAAAAACAATCAAGGAGCCTTGAAAAAATAGATTGGATCGTCTAATGTTTTTAGTGTCTTGTCCTGACCAGTTAAAAGATGCCCAAATCGTATTTTTAATCATATCTCAATTTTTTCAAATGGAACGAGGGTGGCTCATTAGCATATTTGGAGAAAGCATTTTTTTTACAATAATTTGATACCACACACTTGGTATTTCGAGTCAAATTTTCGTTACGAACCGCAAGCTATAATTTCAAATAAACAATATGCGAAAATGTCAAAAGTTGGCATGTGTTATTTTCTATCAAATAAAGTAGAAAAATACCCAGGATGCCATTTAAAAATCAAAAGTTGTAGTCATTTCCGGTAAAACAGGAAGTGACCAAAGACAATTGAATACGTCAATCAATCCTAATTTATGTCATATACTAACATACCAAATCTCGTTTTTTTAACCGAAAAAACGAAAAAGTTATAGGGGTGAGCCTGTTTTGAGACGCACCCGGTATTCACTCACCGGCACGCAAAACGGGCACCATAAAATTTTCATGTATTTTATAGTTTTATATATTGTGTTCTAGTATGGTCAATTTGTACCTAAATTATTTGACTTTTTAATATCTATTTCTAAATTATAAATGAAAGTTGTGTATGTCAATTATACAGGAAAAAATAAAACGTTGATATCTTGGTGAAAGTTTGTAACACCCTGTGGAGTAAGATACCAAAGCAAGGAATTTAAAAATAATTTTTTCATCTAGGTGTACCTTTTCTCGATAGTTTGTTTTTTGATTCATCTTAATAGCTTTATTTTTGGAGATATTCGCTTTTGAAGAAGACACTAACATTTTTTTTTGAATTTATTACATTAAGTCATGCCTTTGCTTTTGGTCTTAGTCAGCAGATCTATAAAATAGTGTTTATGATTTATGTAATGTCACTGTCTTTGAAAAATCATATTATTATTGTCTGTTAGGTAGTCACTCTAGCAGATATGGCTTTAAGTCAGGAAGGAGCATAATTATATCCATGTATTCATGTATGGTTTGGTCTGGTCGTTTGGTAGGAATCTAGGGTGGGGATCTTTGACAGTTTTGTTTGACGATTCATTTGACACATTTGAATTTGATTTGAAATTTTGTGGATTTGTCAGTCTTTACGGAGCTGTTGTTATTTATTATTTATTCTACTACTGATAGTTGTATAAAGGTAGTAAATATAGATGGAAATTGTGGCAGAACTTAAATTAACAGTGACACTATTGCGATTTATCGAAAAAAACTATAAAATAGTTGGTTGTGTAGGGTGCGGTAGATCTCGGTCAAAAATCGAGTGAAATAATGGAACAACTTTTCGCTAGTAAGTGACTATATAATATACATACGTGTAGTAATCCGATCATTTATGAAATTCACTTAAATTAACTAATTATATATTTTTTCTTGCATTTTTTGCTTTTATTTACTACTTGTCAAAGATTAGATGTCAAAGAATTTAGATACGTCAATTTGACTTACCTGCTTCAGTAGCGTATCGGCTGTTTGTGTTAATAATTATTATAACTTATCTATTTTTATTAGAATTTTATATTTTTATAACAATTTTAATAACTACCAACATTTATTCACAACGTAAAATAAAAAAACAAATTATCGAGTCTACCCCATGTCTACCCTACATCATAGTTTTACATTAGAATGGCACTGATAAACCGGAATTTGAGTCGGCCATATTTGAGTCCCATCGCGGTGGACCTAAGATTTTTTATATGCTCCTTCCTTAATCTTTTTATTCAAAGGCTAAAGTTGATATCTGCCATGATCAATTAAAGCAGCAATAGCCGATACTTCAGAACTTATAACCATCTCTACTAGAGTAAACGTCAATAAACAATAATAATATGACTTTTCAACAGTGACACTACAAAAACAATAAACACTATTTTATAAGTGTGTTGATGAGGAATTGAGGATCCAAAATCAATGCTAAAATTGGTGTAAATTGTTACTGTCTTATTCAAAAGTGAATATCTCCAATAAAAATAAAGCTATTGAGAAGACGTACCAAGACGATAAAATTATTTTTTAAATTCCTGCTTTGTTAACATATTCCACAGAGTGTTTCAAACTTTCACCAAAATATCAACATCTCGTTTTCCTCCGTATAATTGACAGATGGAAACTTTAATTTTTAATTTAAAAAGAGACACTAAAAAGTCAAATAATTTAGCTACAAATTGCTTAAAAAATCATCAAAATCGGCCAACTAGAACAAAATATATTAAACTTTAAAATATATCAATATTTTAAGGTGCTCATTTTTCGTGCTGGTCAGTGTAGAGGCTTTACATAAATACTTACATGCTCCATCTACATCATAATTCGAAAGATCATTATAAATAGTTCGCGAGAATTCCAATATGTTGCACCACTGATCCTTATTGATTACTTTGTACTTTGACTGGTCGAGGAACTGACTGAATTGCGTGTACAGAGGCCAATGTTTCCCAAGAAGCAGCTGGAGCATGGCTTTTGCTGTTTCCATGTCCATGCTTCTTTGATCCTTGTCCTGCAAAGAAAAATGTAGAGTAATTGAAGTTAAAGTCTCTTTTTTGCTGACCAAAGGCTTATCCGTAAGTGACCTACTTTGTTTACGCGGCTTCCGAACGGCGGTTCTCCGGTATAGAGGGCTATTCACCTCATATGACACAGAGTATTGTAGCCAAACGATTAGACTTTTACAAATTGTAAGTTTTGAGTTAATTGTAGGACTATTACAACTACAATTTAAAATTATTGGCAAATGGTATATAGAGTGTCCCAAATAAATAAAAAATATCAAAGTTGTATTTTTTTAAATGGAACACCCTGCATGTTACCACATTTTTAGTTTCTACGATTCAAATAAAGGTAAATTTGATTAAGGTTTACTCACACTTTAATCTTACCGTTTTTGAAATATTTACGATTTTATTAAAACGCAGTAACAATTTTAATGATAGGCATATTTAAGTTTTTAAAACCCTATACTGTACTGAAGTTTTTCTATTTCTAAATTTTATTTTGCAATAATACAACCTTATACATAGTGTCTAAAAAGCTTAAAGCCCCGTTCTCAGAACAGCGACTGTCGCCACGTCAAAAGAACGGTCCGCCACGTCAAAAGAATTGGTTCTTTTGACGACACGTGAGATTTGTACAAAATTCAAACAGCTGTCAATTTTAAATTTAGTACAACTCCCATTGGTCGTTTGAAGTGCCAATTAGTGTAGCTGGCGACACGACGTGAGAACGGGGCTTAAAGCCTCGTGCTCAGAACGACGTCGTGTCGCGGGCGACACAGTTTGACATTTCAAACAACCAAATAAATATAATATATACTAAATTTAAAATTGACAGCTGTTTGAATTTTGTACAAATCTCATTGGTTCTTTTGACGTGTCGCTGGCGACAGTCGCTGTTCTGAGAACGGGGCTTAATGGAAAATCAAATGTATTAAAAAGAGATAAAAACTGGGTCGACACAGTTCTTCTATGCGGTATTGTCGGATTTTACATCAAAATCTCAAACTGCACAAGTAGGCGTTTGCGAAAAAAAATGTTGCCTTTAGGGTTGTTAACTTTATTTTATTAACTATTCATTTTACTACAGCTGTAATAGATTATATTTAGTTTAGATACATTATCATCATTTCAGTAGTATACATGAAAGTTTTTAAAATAGCTTACATTTTTCTACACGCATTTTAACGCTGCTAAACAGCAATAACTTCTTTAATTTAAATAGAACACCCTGTATATTTTAGGCGAATCAGATGCACAATTTAATTGTCTATCAAATTGTATTATACCATTTCTTACGTATCTCTTCAAGTTTTCCCAGAAAATGCATTTTCTTATAATTTATAACTCATTTATCAATATACCCATGGAATATTGACATTTTAGATTGCTTTTTTAAATAACAAATTTATAAAATGTACAGATGCTAACAACGATAATATTGCTAGCCATCAATTTTTACAAAAAGAGAAGTAATGTTTAGCTAAATTTAATCTTTGTAAAAGAGTGTACCATTAATTAAATATACTACCATTATTTCAGCCAAATATATATTAATTACATACTTAATTGTGTTAGTTAATTACTGTATTTTCACAAAATTGTGAATATTTAAAAAACGTTAAGATTTAGGTGAGTTAAACTTTAATTAAACTTATCTTTACTTTACTGATAGGAACTAAAAATGTAATAATATACAGGGTGTTCCATTCTTGTAAAAATATTTTTAAATTAACTAATAGTCCGTCAACAAACCCAAAACTTACAGTTTTATAACAAAACTATTGTTTTGTCTACACTGAAAAAGATATATGTAAGTAAATTTACAAAAAATAATATGGGCATGTTACAGCATCTTTAATAAGCTACTTCTAGAAATCTATTATTTTTGTGGAGTTTCACAAAATAAAGTAATTTTACAAAGTAGTTTAAAGTTAAAAGTTATATTTAATGATTACCAAATGATGCTATGTCTGCAATTAGTTCTGTGTTTACAAATGAAGTTTAAACCACAGATACAATTTTGTAATAAAATTCCATGTTTTTTTAACGTCACTAAACACAATGCTATAATTGTGTTTTTTCTGCAACGTTATGTCTATTGTCTAGACAGGATGGACAACCCTCTTGAGAACTGCCATCAGTTTGGCTTAGTTTGTTTAATTTGTCTGTTTTAGTTGTACTACTTAGTTTGTCCATTACCGACTACTTAGTTTGTCCGTTTTGTCTAGTTGCTTAATTTGTGTTTTAGTTGTACTTACCCTGGCAAAATCGTAGGCATACCGGTAAATCGCTTTAAATGTATTCTGATCACTTAACAGACACCGCAAATAATCTAGCCGATACTGTAACTTTTGTATCGAGTCACACTGCATCTCACTTAGCCCCTTCAACCATTCCTCTTTAGTAAAAAAGCCCATCTGCCTGGCCTGCATTTTGTAAGCTAAAACTAACATGACCACGTTCTCGGGCTCCACCCCGATGTCCTCGCAGAACTTCTCCATTCCCTCAGGCCCCAGAGAGTCGGGATCGTCGGGAGTCGTGTATTCCCTGAACCAGGCTAGGCATCTCTTTTGACTAAACGACGTTTCCTCGAGTCTGGAACTTCTCCTAGAACTAGAACATATGAAGATACAGAAGTATTTTTAATAAATAATGCACGAACACCTACTTTGTGTTCTCCATATATACAAAATTTAAGGTTATAATTATGTGAAGTGTTTTTGGCAATAGATTTGAGATCTATTTTTAAATGACAACGTCTAATAGCCTTGGAAAACGTAGCAAAAAAAAATCTTGAATTAAAACACAAAACAACTAACATTAGATAACTTTTTAATGTTTTTATAACTTAAAAAAATATATATTTATAAATAATGTACAAGTAAATTAGTGACAGCATTAGATATATTACATAATTGAGAATAAAGCAGCTCAAATCTAAACCAAGGTAATATTATTAGAAACAATATTATTATAAATGTTTTGGTCCATCTCGTAACCTTGATATTGACATTCAAAGGTTAATTTAATTAATGAGGTTAAGAACACTAAATTCTGTACCTTTTTACAAGTACATAATTTACATCATAGATAAATAATATTTTTAAATAAATTAATCAAACTCAGATTAACTGTTATACCAAAAATTTCAACATGGATTAGATGTATACCAAACACATAAAAATGGCAAAGGTCCTAACTAAAATTATTGAAAGAAAATAACTTCATTACCTAGTTGTGTTACGTTGACGCTTTGAAGTGTATCTTTCTTCATCATTCGAAGCCATATCAGTTGTTGCCCTTCTTTTGCTGCGAGGCATTTCAATATTTTATATATTTATTATATATTAATGGCTTGTGCTAGAAAAAAAGAATCCTTTCACTGTGTTTCAACTCTAATCAATATATTATTTAAATCATTATTTATATCTTCCAGATAAATGTACCATCTATTAAGAAAACAAAACTAAACAAAAAACACTAATTACCAGTTTTATGAAAATCTTTATTACAAGGTATATGATACTTACTTGAAAGCTTCTTTGGAATAATTTTCGATACAGCTTTCAGTTTAATAAAGAAAAGTTAATGTATTTTAAATAAAAAAATTCTCATGTGTGTAGGTACTAGATACTAATTTTTCTCACCTGTTACTACTGCTCAGGTGCATTTAAAAACGTCCGTTTGTTAATCTAGAGGAATGATGAATTTGCAAATAAATAAATAAGTTACTTTAATTGTGGCTATCTAAATTTAATAAATATTTTAATATTATTAATTATTCTTAAAACACTTTCCTAGTTTTGCATTTCTAACCTTGAATAATTTTGACAAGCATTGTCGCCAATCAGAGGAAAATAAAAAATAAAACAGTTTTCAAAAATATTTGTTATTTATCGGGAATATGAGGGAATATTCATAAATAAGGATAATGGTTTTGGGTAATTACCTAGTTTTGTTAATCGGTTAATACTGAGGGTGGTAGTTAATAAAATATAAATCAATACTGTTGTTATCGTTATTTATTTTATATATGATTTGATAATAATTTTTCAATAGATTCTGTGGTAGCTTACGTTACGAAGGGCCACAGAATAGTAACAAAAGCCTTATCACTGCTCACTGCGCATTAAATATGTTTTGATTTTACTTTATCCATACTTTATCAATTTTTCTTTTAAGTACCAACGTAAATTTAATGTTTTTACGTGGTTTATTAATTTTATATTTCCATATCGTCTAAAAGATAACTACGTCAATACATTACCCTATTAATCCTACTGTGAGAAGTTCCATTAGTTGGGAACGACAATATTTAACAGGTAAGGTTAGAAGAATGTTTTTGTTTATAAAATTAGCTATGCATAAATTTATATCCTTTTCAAGGTAATTTTGTTAAGAAAGTGGTTACCTTTGTGTGTCCATAGTCCAGAAGGAATAAAGCAACAATGGCCTCATGTAATATTCAGAATACCTCTGATGAAATTGTAGTTAAGCAGTTGAATGAGTTATTTGGCAAGTCTTTAAATGTTGGTGTTATTAGAAGGGTTGCAGAATCGTGTCAATTTGATGGTAAGAGGATATTTTTTATACCATATTGTCAATTCAGTATTGGGACAATAAGCTAGAGCACTTTTTTTAATGTTAAATTAAGGAATGAATAAAACTAAATAATTATGCTATTCCCTTGAATATTTTATCACTACTTTCAGTCAGCAAATATCTCTAAAAAATTTAAAATTCTGATGTAAATCATAAACATATTAATATATGAAATATAGAGAGGAGGGACTTACCTAGATAATATTTTATTAAAACTTCCAAAAGTGGCAGAGTTGTATGTAAACATATTAAACATATATTTAAGAGCTATTCAATCTAGGCACTGCTTATTAAGCCATTTTTATCTAAAAATTTTGTGGGAAACTCGCTAAATGTTTTTAGCAGTCATGGGCATTTAAATTTTAGCAGAAAATACATAAAAAAAAATCTAACTGCGTTGTAAAAAACCTAATGGAAAGAAGAATGACAGTTCTCTTCCTTCCTGTACTTTGATGCCAATATATCATACATTTTATATTTTACTTATCTACCAAGTGCCTATCTAAATTTTGCCTATCTACATGAAAACTTAAGCTTAATATATTTTGTTCTAGTGGGCTGATTTTGATGATATTTTAAGCAATTTGTAGCTAAATTATTTGACTTTTTAGCATTTCTTTCTAAATTAAAAATGAAATTTGTGAAAGTCTGAAACACCCTGTGGAATATGTTAACAAAGTAAGAAATTTAAAAATTATTTTAATCATCTAGGTACTCTTTTCTCGATAGTTTGTTTTTTGATTCATCTCAATAGCTTTATTTTTATTGGAGATATTCGCGTTTGAATAAGACAGTAAATATTTATATAGCATCAATTTTGGGTTCTCATCAACATAAATACTTATAAAATAGTGTTTATTGTTTTTGTAATGTCACTGTCATTGAAAAGTCATATTATTATTGTTTTTTAACGTTTACTCATCGTTTACTCTAGTAGAGATGGTTTTAAGTTCTGAAGTATGTTGCTTAAATAATTGATCATGGTAGATATTAACTTTTGGACTTAAAACCATATTTGCTAGAGTAACTGCCCAACAGACAATGATAATATGATTTTTCAAAGTACAGACAATACGTAAATCATAAACACTATTTTATAGGTCTGGTGACTAGAACCAAAAGCAAAGGCGTGGTTTTAATGTATAAAATATGAAAAAAAAATTTACATATTTCATTTTTTCAAAAAATGTTAGTGTCTTCTTCAAGCGCGAATATCTCCAAAAAAAATAAAGCTATTCGGATGAATCAAAAAACAAACTATCGATAAAAGATATGCCTAGATGAAAAAATAATTTTTAAATTATTTGCTTTGTTAACGTACTTCACAGGGCGTTTCAAACTTTGACCAAAATGTCAACATTTTGTTTTACCTCGTATAATTAACAGATAGCAACTTTCATTTTGAATTTAGAAAGAGGTACTAAAAAGTCAAACAATTTAGCTACGAATTGTTAAAAAATCATCACAATCGGTCTCTCAATATATAAAACTTTAAAATACATGAAAATTTTAAGGAGTCCGTTTTTTCGCGCCGGTGCGTGGTATTATAAATAATAATAATTAAATTTCAAATATTTGATTTAAAATATGATTTATTTCCTGTATCAACATATTCCGATTCTGCTTTGTTTATTAGCTACAGAGGCAACAGAGGGTTTTGTTCGTGTATATAGGGTGGTGACAATTTCGATGCTCAACATTGGCAACTCAGAAACTACAAGAGATACGAATTCGGTTAAACGGGATAAAAGTTGCGTAATTATATGTTTGAAAAACACTTCGGAAGAAAACTCCGGTATCTTGATTAGTTTGAAATTTATGTCAAAAAAATGAAAATAAAACGTTTATATTAAACTATTGTATCTATTGGAACGTAAGTTGGTAGTTCTATATTTTTGACCTTGGCCAATTAAGTGCCGTTTTCAGAAAATTTCTAAGTCTTCTAGATTTCGCAAAACAGCAGTCAAGTTTTTGTTTTCTTATGACCGCCATTTTGAATTTTTATACTATTAGATAGAGCAAAAAATAATCGATACGGTGGTTTCTAATTTTTATTCATTATTATGAAAATTCGCTAAAAAATAAGATTTTTTAAAAATTCGCCCAAAAGATAAGTCTGCCTTGGAAATACAATTGACATTTTATATTTAAATGTAAAATTTATAGTAAATAGTGTATTTTTTAAATAGTATTAATAGTGTATTTTTTATAGTAAATAATGTATTAACAGTCAACATGTTCACAAGTGAGGAAACACGAGATATGTATGATGTTTACTTAAAAATAATAGAAATTCCGATATGGTATGCGTAAGTTATAGAATATTGTATCCTGAAAGGACGCAGCCTCATCGTACTATTTTCGCAAGAATTTCAAGAAATTTAGCAGTTGCTGGTAGCTTTAAGAAACAAGAGGGCAATATTTTAAAAGGCATAATGATTTTAATGTGCCATTCAGATTGAAATAAATCCGGAAACTTCTAGTAGTAAAGTAAAATAACTCGCGAGTGTTGTATAAGTGGTTCTTATGTAGGGAAATTATCAAAAAACATAAATATCACAACTTTAAATTTAAATGTACACCAAATTTACATCTTTTTACATGCTGGTGATTACGATGGAAGATTACAATTTTGCAAATGGTTCCGGGAAAGCGTTCAAGAGCCCCCTTTTTCTAGAAAAATATTATGAACAGATGAATCTTTATTTACAAATTCTGATACATTTAATAGAAAAAAATTCACATTATTATGCAAAAGAAAATCCTCATTTAATTAGAGAAACCAGACCCCAGACCACAGTAAAATATTCTTTGAACGTCTGGGCTGGCATTCTTGACAATAAAATTTTAGGTTCTGTATTGATCTGTATTGAACTCTACTATACCATTTTTGTGCATCCATATTTGATACTTAATAGAATAAACAAAAAATAACTTGACGACATATAAAGTGTCAACTGGATTTCCAAAACAGACTTGTTCTTTGGCGAATTTTGAAAAAAACTTTTTTTTAGTGAATTTACATAATAATGAATAAAAATTAGATACCCCGTGTAGACTTTTTTGAAAATGGCGGCCATAAGAAAACAAAAACTTGACTGTTGTTGTGCGAAATCTAGAAGGCTTAAAAATTTTCTGTAAACGGCATCTAATTGGCCGATGTCAAAAATATAAAACTACCAACTTACGTTCCAATAGATACAATAGTTCTGAAGATATTGTCATTTAATATAAACGTATTGTTTTCATTTTTTGACATAAATCCGAAACTAATCAAGATACCGGGGATTTCTTCATAAGTGTTTTTGTCAAACATCTAATTACGAAACTTTAGTCCCATTTAACCGAATTCGTATCTCTCGTAGTTTCTGAGATGCCAATGTTGAGCATCGAAATTGTCACCGCCCTGTATAGGATGTCCCATTTAAAAAAGATGTTTATACCATAAATGTAAATTAAAAGGGACAAAGATGGGAATATATTCAGTCTCCATTGGATTCTAATTTATTATTCACGTAGAATGAATTTATAGGTTAATTTTATCCTAAAATACCAATAAAAAATCATAATAAAAATAATACAAAAAGAGGCTAATGTATTTATTTATTGGGGTTTTCAATAGATAGGAGGTAATAAACTGCCTTATTTACTCTTTAGTATATTGTATGCCAAGTATTAAATAGAAGTGTCTATTCAAGGTGTTTCTGAAAATACTTAATTTTGATTTTTTTAATAGTAAATTGTTCTTTGAAGTCTAATTTTATTGCTCTTTGATGACTACAGGTATGTAACGAACAACGAATTGCTATTTACAAATAGAAAGAATTAATGTTACATTTATAGGGTAATTTACAGTTATAATAACATTATGACACTGAATACTGAATACTCTTAAAAAGGGGTTATAATCTAATAATTCATATAGGTTGTCCTAATATTTATAGTACCCCAAATCTCATTCAAATTGGAATAACAGTTCTTAAAATATCTTAAAAAATGTGTTTATTTTTTTTAAAGTTTGAAGCCCTCTAACGGACAAACGAAGCAGTTTTTTATGAGGTAAATTGTGTCAAATACTAAACCAAGAGATTTTTTACGCATTTTTACAGGGTTTTCTAATAGGTCGGTTTGGGTATGTGATGGTAATCAGGTTTACTGTTACAGAACGATGATGCTTTTAAACGGTGAAAAATTTCTTTTGCAATGATTCTAAATACTTAATGTGTACCAAAGGTGTACCAAAAAGTTCGCAACAAATGGGGAAAATATTATTTATTTATCGCAAAAAAAGTTTATGCTTAATTATTTATATTTATAATTTTTATTAGTGTTGTCATATCTATATATTTATATTAAGTAAAAAAATACCGAGAGAGAGGGTGTCATTTAAAAATCAAAAGTTATAGTCATTTTCGGTGAAACCAATTGAACAAAAAAACAACTGAATACCTCAATCAATCCTAATTTATGTCATATATTAACATACCAAATTTTGTTGTTTTATCTGAAAAAAAAATAAAAAAAGTTATAGGGGTTTGGTTTGGTTTGGTTTGGGGGAGCCACTTTTGAGACGCACCCGGTATATACAGAAAAATGGTGGGTGCAATTTACAAAACTTAAAACTTTATCATTATTTTTTTGGGACACCCTGTATGCAACAAAATATTTTTAGGATATGCACTATTATAAACCATACAACAATTGTATAAAATTTTCTTTATATTTGTGCCAACAACGACGATATTGCATATCGCACTAATAGGGGTTGGTTTTATTGCCCCTGGTCATCAGTATATCCTTAAGGAGATTCTTCAGAGCGTCAGTCTCAGTCTGCGTTCAGAGACAGCAGTTGTCTCTGCTCGGCTCTTACAGTTAGAGTTGACAGTGTTAGTTTAATAGTGCATCTAGAGTGGATTTTAATGATTTAGAATGGGTGAGTACTTGTAATTTGTGTATACAGTACGTCTGCTGGATATGTGTCTATGAAAGGAATGTAGACAAAAAACATTTAAATAAACAGCAATATATTTTATACGTCGACTTGACCCTACGTCACCGCAAATCGCTCCGCCCACTCATTTTATTGGCTACTTGCAAATTTGTCGAATTTGTATTGATGGGAGGTGTCGTCTAATTTTTTACGAAAAACATCGAGAGAATATCGTTTCCCCTCTCACGGATACCCCGTAGCTACAGAACGGACAGACGTACTGTATAAAGTGTATAAATTGTTTAACAGGTTGATGATTGTTTAAATTTTTATTTATAAACATAGATTGTCACAGATTTGTAGCATCATAACGTTTTTTTCATTGACTTGGGCGATAGTGTTTGCTTTGGTTTGGATTAAAAATGACAAGAAAATTTATTCTGTTTCCTTCGGGTATCTGTTAAGTTTGACATTTAAGCTTCATTCAGAACACAATTCAATTACACTTTATACTTTTTAGTTTACGATCATTCACAATATTTAAAAAAAAACAGAATTAAAATATTTTTTTTTGAAAGTAATTTTTATTTTTATTAAGTTTCCAAAATCCTCCTATATAATATAACGGGTGCGTCTCAAAAGTGACTCACCCCTATAACTTTTTTATTTTTTTAGATAAAAAAAACGAGATTTGGTATGTTAGTATATGACATAAATTAGAATTAATTAACGGGTGTTCAGTTGTTTTGGTCACTTCCTGTTTCACCGGAAATGACTACAACTTTTGAATTTGAAATAGCACCCTCATTTTTTGTTTACTTTATTCGATCTGTCATTTTCTAAAATGACATTCTGAATAGAATGACATATCTTAATCCAATTTTTGGGCATTTTCGCTTAATAAAAAATCGTATTTTAAATTTCAATCTAGAGTGCCATGGCTATGTTAAAAACACTGATTTTTAATCAAGGAGCCTTGGAAAAAATTAATTTGATAGTCTAATGTTTTTACTGTCTTGTTCTGACCAGTTACAAGATGCCCAAGTCGTATTTTAATAATATGTCAATTTTTTCAAATGAAACGAGGGTGGCTCATTACCATATTTGGAAAAGGCATTTTTTTACGAATATTTTGATACCACACACTTGGTATTTCGAGTCAAATTTTCGTTCTGAACCGCATGTTATGATTTCATATAAACCATATGTGAAAATGTCAAAAGTTGACAGATGATATGTCATTCTATTCAGAGTGTCATTTTTGATGTGTTCGGTTTCATTTAATGATGCTACAGCATTTTGTTCATCTATAAATGCTAACTTGAAAACTAATGTCAAATGTTATTAAGTATCAATCAATTATCGAAATCAATTAAATCGAATTGTTTAAGTGATATTCTTGAGTCTATAACTCGGAAACTTTTTAGACTTTGATTAGACTTGAAGGAAGAACCATAAAATATGCAATAATATACAGGGGGTCCTATTTAAAAAATGAATCTTTAATGTGTCACTACTTTATGACCGACCCTTTATACTTAAATTTATTACCCGCTAATAGATATTTATAATCCCTATAAATTTTATATTTAACTTTTTGCGGTACCTCTTATATTTTACCTAATAATCGACCGTTCCCATACATATCAGCGACCCTGTATAATCAATTAAAAAATTAAATAGAGTAAAACAGAGAGTAAAACCTTTTCTAAAGACCCACAACATTAGTTTGTAAGAAAGTACTTGTTGGTTTGTTAAAAAGCTGTTTTATTTGTCAGTTTTTGAATGCCGATTTTTTTTACATAAAATTGAAATTATTTATAAACTGTTAAAGTTATTAAACTTCCGTTAGTTCCGTATGGGACATTATACACAAAAGTGTCTAGAATCCAAAAATCATTAAATATAAAAGCGGTTTTATTTAAATCAAGCATATTGCTGTTTTTGTTTAAACACGAAAATAAAGGCTCACTTCTGACTTAAATAAAAGTCGACTGTTAATACTGTCGTAATTCAACCTTCAACCTGCTGCCATTGGAGTGGTAGATGAAGGCTGTAGGTAAAAAGTTTGTTTAGTTGTATTGTAGATGTTTCCATATTTTTTATAATACAAAGATAGATTCTACTTTTCTTTGTTTTTTTTCAGTTAACGCTTCATCTAACCAACTGTTCAAAATTACGAGAAACTCTCGTGGTGAAGTTTCTAGAGGAGGCTCACCTACCGTTGAGAAAAAATCCCGGAAAAGGGTTGATATCGAAAATGCCATTCGACGTATCAACGACGGATATAAGGTCCTGGTCATCATGCGAGGTCTTCCGGGTTCGGGAAAGTCCACTCTGGCCAAGTATATCCTGGACAGTTCCGTTGGTCTCGAAAATTGTTCACCTAGCGACCATATACACTCCGCGGACGATTATTTCATGAAAAACGGAGTGTACCAGTACAATTCCATTTTCGTTAACGATGCCCACGGTTGGAACCATGAAAGAGCGTTTAGTGTCATGGCAAAAGGTTATAGCCCTGTCATCATTGATAATACCAACACCCAGATGTGGGAAATGAAACCCTATGCAGCTATGGCAACGGATTTTGGTTATATTCTCGAGATTCTTGAGCCGGACACACACTGGTGTTTCAATGACCGCGAACTAGCCAAGAGAAACAGACACGGAGTACCCAAGGCTACAATAAGGAACATGATCGATAGGTACGATAAGAACGTCACTCCTATGAAACTTCTTACGGCGTACGACTGCAAATACAAGCTACAGAAACCGCCACAGATGAGATTGCACCCTCCCATACTCAAAAACACCATTAAACGGACATGTGATATGCCACCGGAAGTAGCTGCCAAAGTACAACATCCGAATTTCACTAGTATGAGTAATTTGACGTTTAGCCCTGGACTAACACGCAACTTAATGGATTTTAATGAACCTAGTAACCAAACAACTTTTTCTTCTAAAACTGAGAGCATGGAACCCAAACCTTTTAACAGCGTAGACAATTTGCTGATGTATGAAGAAAATACATTGTCTAAAACAAACATATTGAAACCTGTACAAAATTCAGAGATCAAACTATTTGACAGCATTCGAAGTTGGGGTATCGACGAAAAGGCTCTCCATTCGTGGGATATAGTGACGCCATTGAAAGATAACGAGTTTGAGAAAGTAGAAGTGCTTCCTCTAGTTGTTATAGATGACGATGACGGCATGATCGAAACCAAAGAAACTTGTGTCGGTACCGATGACAAAGATTTTGTTATTTTAAGAAATTTATCAGATTTATCAACTAGTCCACAAAATAATGGTATAAAAATTGTTCAAGCCTTTAGTAGGGACATTAATCAAAACCTCCTTCCTCGACCTAAATTAAGAAAAAAGAAACTGATGTTGGACAAGAGCTGTCTGACTAGTGATGACCTGATCGATGATGAGGATGCTGACATAGAACAACTTACCAATGTATTCCCTAACGTGCCTTTACAGAATGTTTTGTATTGGTATAGGAAATGTAACCGGGATATTGATTGGACTATTGAACTGTTGTTGGAACAGAAGGAAGAGGTTTTAACTGTAGCTATTGAGGACGATGAAGGTGAAGAAGTTAGAGAAGAAACTCCTGTAGTTGTAGTCGATAGTGATAGTAGTTCTTCGTCTAACAGTGAGAATGGAACGAGAAGAACGAAAAAGCAGAAACATCTTACTCCAGAATCGTTACAGTTAAAGCGTTGCATCGAAAATAAAATTACAATAAGCGATGTTCACTATTCCGATAATATTCGAAAAATAAAGCAACGAAAATACGGAGAACTTAGTCCTAACCACTCCAAAGAAACAATCGTTATCAATGAGAATGATAATAATTATCAATTTAGTGATAACATCGAGCAGATATACCCCATTAAAAATCCACAACAAAGTACTAGTAACACTTCCGTACTTCCCTCATCTCCCGAGTCTAACGACGAACCGTTTGAATTTCTCGAAATGGACAGCGGATCATCCTCTCCCCAACAAGTTTGGGAAACTGTTGAATTGAATCTTGGAGAGTTCTTCGTCAATCAGCTAGAGGAAAAATTCGGCGATCCAAACCTGATATACCCCAAAGGCTTCCAAACTACCGTTCAGGTCCCGGCTTCCTTAGCCAGACAACTGTACACCTGTTATATAGAGTCTGTTTACCAACAGATGGACGCTCAGAAAGCTTTGATGGAAGAAATGGTTAAAGAAGATGAAGAATTTGCTAGGAAATTGCAAGAGAGTGAAGCACAAGAGGCTGCAGCGCAAGGAGGATCGCAAAAAGTTGAAAACGAATGCTCTGAAGCGACTGGCATACCTGCTATCATGAGGGAAGAACGGCAGAGGAACAAATGGCAGAAAGAGGTAGATAAATGGAAGGACTTGAACCCTGATAATCTAGCTGCGATGTTAACTAGGGAAAAATTATTTAAAGCATTTCCATCTGTTGATAAAGATGTTCTGATAGAGTTGTTGTATGCTCATAATAACATTTATAAGGATACAGTAGATATATTGTTGATAAATACGGATGAAAATGATATCAGAGGTGATATAGAAAGTATAAAGGATCCGCCAGTGAGTTCTAGCGTGTTGACTGAAATGAGGGAAGCTCATGAGAGCTGCAATGATATTGAAGTAAGTTCACAGATTTTTTATGAACGTATTTTAAAATGTTTGGTTCGAGACTATTTTAGTTTTGTTTAATAACATAACCTTAAAAAAAACACATGCATAACGTAGGTTTATTTTATAATTAATATTTTTTAATACCAATATAAATTTAATAAGTTTATACAGTGTTGCAGAAATCTGTTTATCATTTTTTTTAGATAAGCAAAAACTTAACTGCGATACATAATTTTTCTGTCTTGATAATACAAAATAAATTGATGCATACCTTCTTACTGACACTGTATTTTTATTTTTTTATAGCCTGATGAAGAAGCCTGTTCCGGTAACGACTACCGCCAGGAAGCGGAAAAGTACCTCCAAAAACGTACAAGTTTATATGAAAAAGCCCAAAGACACTTTCAACGTGGCAACACCGAGATCGCCCAATTTTATTCAAGTTTAGCAGCTAAACAAACATTTTACTATGAGAGGGCCAATAGCAGAGCAGCTACAGCATTTCTCGGAGAGCATTCGCAGCGACTTCAAGACTTCAATACGCTGGACCTACACTTTCTCTACGTCAAGGAAGCTATACCGTCATTAGATTATTTCTTGGACATGAACATTAATCTTCTGAGACATAGTACGTCGAAAATTGTGGAGGAGTTGCAGATAATAACAGGCAGAGGGAACAACAGTCAGGGGAAACCGAGGTTGAGGCCTGCGGTTCAGGGCCACTTGAATAAACGCCACCTATCGTAAGCATTTTATTACTATTTTGAATATTTATTCTAGCGGTTTTATTTGACAAATTAAAGTAAAAGGGTAATTATTACATCATTATTTTTTTAATTTTTTTCTAGGTATAAACAGCTGAATCCTGGACTGCTCAAAGTGAAAATAACAAAAAATTCAAAACTGAGCAACGAATTATAAAACGGTAAGTGTCAAAAATAGAGCTATTATAATTTAACATACAGGCTTCCCTAACAGTGATACGGATACGCGCGGAATTTGTAATACATGGCGTTGAGATTGCACATTGATTGCGATAAAAAGCTGCGAGCAGCAGTTGCAGGAATAGTTCTAATGTTGGTTTGGAATTTATATTTTCTAGGAAATACCTTCTTACGACGGTGAATCATTTGCAAAAGAAGGATGGTATGGGTGAATGAGAGACCCTTTTTAAATTGCGATATTGATAATGCGATTCTCGCTGATCCCATAAATATTTCTGCCCACGTACTAAAATAATTAGATTTTCTGTATGCATTTTAACTTTCAAGCTTAGCGTCTTTATTGATTGACATTTTCGCATAAAAAAATCGTATTTTAAATTTCAATCTAAAGTGCCATGGTTGTATTAACACTAATTTTTAATCAAGGAGCCTTGGAAAAATAAATTTGATCATCTGATGTTTTTCGTTTTTTGTCCTGGCCGGTTAAGAGATACCTACCTAAATTGTATTTTTAATTATACCTCAATTTTTTTAAATGGAACAAGCGTGGATCATTAGCATATTTGGAAAAAACATTTTTTTATGAATAATTTGGTACCACATTTGGTATTTCGAGTCAAATTGTCGTTATGAACCGCATGTAACAATTTCAAATAAACCATATGCGAAAATGTCAAATGTTGACATATAATATGTCATTCTATTCAGAGTGTCATTTTCTATCGAATAAAGTAAAAAAATACCGAGGGTGTCATTAAAAAATTAAAAGTTGTCATTTCCGGTGAAACAGGAAGTGACCAAAAACAATTGAATATATGTCGATCAATTCTCATTTATGTCTTATATTATCATACCAAATCTCGTTTTAACTGAAAAAATTATAGGCGTGAGACACTTTTGAGACGCACCCGGTATAGATAGTTTTTGCTAAAGCTTAAAAAGTTTCTGACCTCACGATATAACAAAACATTTTTTGGAAAATCTATTTTCCTTTTTCCACATAATCTTCTCACGAAGCCTAACGCTTCTACCAACAATGCTGCTACTTTAACCGCTCGTCAGAACAGTAGTTGGCGTCTTTGTCACCTAAATAATTGTTCGTGAGGGTGATAAAAGTTGTTGTTTTCTAAGCCAAATTTTGGGCTTGTTGAAGAAAAATGTCGCTGGAAGATAAATCAGGTGAATATGCAGGACGGTCCAGTATTTCAAACTGTAAATCGTTGAATTTTCACTATATAATTTTCTTCTACTGTAGATAGGATCATTTTGTTGCGATTTCTGCCTTCAGTTTGTCAAGTAATAGTTTTTCTTTTCAATCAATTAGGATGACCCTATGGCTAGTCAGGGCTGTTGGGCAACAAATGTTGCGCGAATATTGCTGTATGTATGATGAGGTCGGAACATTTTCAGACTAACCTTGTACTTTACTTTTTTTTCCATAACAAGGGACCGCACAGTGGGCCCTAATGAACCAATAATATTGAAAAACTTTTGTACCATTTCTGATTATTAATTAAAAATAAAGGGGTTTTCTCAATTTTATTTTTTTGAATTATTCCACATTTTAAGTTGTTTCTGGCCCAATGTGGGCCGTCCTCTGCCGGAAACACTGCGACTTGTACTTTACTTACTTATTGTATCATCATCATCATCATTTTCAACTTATTCAACCATTTCCAATTATGGTGTAGCTCACATATTTAGATACTCTCTTTGTAGTTGAGCCTATTGTTGTCTATTGTTGGCTATGCGGGCCCAAGTTATCCCTGCTAATTTCCTAATATCATGGTCCCATCTCAAGTTTGGTCTTCCTCTAGGTCTCTTGATTCTTCGTGGATAAAATGCCGTAATTTTTGTGGTCCATCTGTTTTCTGTCCTTTTTGCCAGGTGTCCTGCCCATTGCCATTTGGGTCTTTTGCCGTATCCACTCTATTCTTTTACGATCTCTCTTGGTTATTCCCAGCATATTACACATTGGTAGAATGTTCTCTTCTTTAGATAAAGTAGCATTCTTTATCTAAAGATTTGAATATGATTGAGTTTCTTCCATAAGTACTCCATGCTGACTTAATTCTTCTCTTAATTTCTGGTAGTAGAGATCCCGAGATGCGCATTCATTGGCCCAAATATATTCTACTATTTCCAGTGTTTGGTTTGTTGGTTTGATTAATTTTGGCTTTTGGTTTTGTCGTTTGGTTATTATTTACTATAGAATGTCTTTTCTGTCTACCAATTCGTTGTACATTTCTTTAGAAACTAAATTCGTTTTGAGACCTACTTTATTGCTGGCTGTATTTAGTTCGTTAATTTGTGCTTGTAGTTCTTCAGGACTATTGGCAATTAGAACTATGTCATCAGCGTATCTTAGGTGGTATTCTTCATCTATACTTAATCCTTTGTTGATCCAGTCGAGTTGACGGAAGGTTTCTTTTAGTGTTGCTACTGCAACTATTCCTTTGCCAGTTGGGCAAATATCGTATACTTTATTTGTACTTATTGTATAATAATAATAACATATACAGGTTGTTAATTTGTTCATTACTCGCGGCAAGAGTTTTATGGTTGAAATATGGCAACCTCGACCCGCTCGTCGATAGACGACGCGACGGGACGAGTTGGCAGAAAAATCAATAATGCATGCGTTCTCAATAGGCAGTGTTGCCATTCTGTTCCCCTATAAGTAACTGTCGAGTTAACAACCTGTATATTAATAAAATTTATTGTAACTTTTGATACGTAATAATTCTATACAAACAGTAAAAGTATATGTTGTATATAGTAAAGTATAAAAAATAAATAATATTATTCATAAAAACTATAGAAAGGGAAAAAAATACAAACAAAAACATTAGAAATTCAAACTGATCATATATATAAAATGTAATTTTATTAATTTCTTCTTTATTATTTTCAGAGATACAACCAGGATGACAAGAACAAGAACCTTGAAAAGTACAAAGTGTGAGTACAAGTACAATTAATTTTAATAAACCTCTTCTCATTTTAACTATCGTTGTTTCTTAAGTCTTAAAAATTGTTTGTTCTATTTTTTCAAGGTTTTTTAAGTTACCATGAATTAATTTTAAGGTTATATTGTTTTATGTTGTGTTTAAAAAAATATTAGTTGTTTTTCCTATATAATAGATTCATTAGTGTTGAGTATTTGATTAAAGACAAATACATTTGGGTTGAAATTATCCTCAATTTCACTAAGCACCATGCTACCGTTTTATTATCTATCTGTTAAACGTCTTCAAAGCTCATCATAAGCAATATAAAGTGTAGAATGAGATTAAGCTTTTTTGTGGTAGGAAAAACAGCTAGTATATATTTGTTTTCTCCGTTCTCCATACCAGGGGCGCTATTCTGTATAATCGTCGGTATCGGTAAGTTACCGACAGCTATCGGTACGTACGGCCAATGAGCGTCGTGTTGATTGTTGTTATCATAGTTACCGATCGACCCTATGGCAGATATCGCAAATTTGTACCGACGACTCTCGGTATCTCTACCATGCCCTTGTTAATCTCACGGTAGAGATACCGAGAGTCGTCGGTTCAAATTTGCGATATCTGCCATAGGGCCGATCGGTAACTATGACAACAATCAACACATGTTTACTATATACAAATACGTACCGATAGCTGTCGGTAACTTACCGATACCGACCATTGTACAGAATAGCGCCCCAGTTGTGAGCAAAGCAATCGTTTTTATTTTTCTCTAAAAGAAATTAGGAATAAGTGTATCTTAATTAGCGTTTTTATTCTGAATTTTATAGCCATTGATTTCATATTTCGAAAAAAAAAATCGAATGGGTATCATTTATACAGGGTGTACCAAAAATGGAACAAAATATAGGAACGCATGTAAACAAAATACAAGCAAATAGGAGGCTTTTTAATACTGAGTTTAAAAAAAAATGTATGTGGAATTTTTTCAGCATACCCAATAACAAAAAAAAATCATTATAGCTTATATTTTATGACAGCTTTACTGTCATGATAGCAAATTACGAAAGCTCAGTAACCAAAAGTGGGGTTAGGGGTCTAAATGTCGAAAAAATGTCAAAGATAATAGTTGTTCAGAATTTAATTAAACGTCTACATGCTAAGTTTCATAAATATACAGGGAATTACAAAAAAATCTTTTACAGTTCAGTCTTTACAATTTATTGCGAGATAGTAAAATAAAAGTACTGCAGTAGAAATTACTTTTATTATATTCGCTTTGTCTTACAACATTCATACCAAAAAAATATTTTATTTTTTTAATAAAAAATATAATACATTTTTGGTTTGGCGTTTTCATTGACGTGAAATAGAATTCTGAACAACTTTTCTCTTAGACATTTTTTGATATTTTCAAATCAAAAATGTATTTCTTTGTTGAAAAAATGTCATATAAACTTTTTCTTAATAACTCGTTAATAAAAAAATCATTTGCTGAAACCCTTTGGCATATCCTGTATGTTGGTTGCGTACCACCAACAATATTCAAATATATTTTATCGTTAATTTTATAAGTCAATTTTTATTATGAAAAAGGTATATAGAGCTTATATCTTAGCTTAACGCATTATTTTACAAAATATATTTTAATATTTGTGATTAATTTTTTAAGTAATTTGACTTTATCCAGTCTTTATTTTGAATTTTTAATAATAAAATAATAATTTTAATTCAGTGACCGTCTTCCTAACTTTTTGAAGCCGAAATGAAAACCACGTTATAGTAGGCACAGCAATAACACTTCAACGAAATATTATATATTATTTATAATAACGTTTTAGTTTGAATCTTACTAGTGTATTATTCGAAATCCTTGTAAAACCACTTCAATAGTTTTAAAATATAACTATTTGTATTTTTTTCTGTTATTTTAATGATAACAAGTTTTAGCTATTAGACATAGGTAATCTCAAAATGAAGTGTCATTTTTCGTATTACACCTACTATGACATATTTTTCATTGCATCACAGGGTATATTTAAAAAAAAAATATTTTTTTTAGTTTTTGCACCACTTTGTCAAATAATTTAGTCATACAGATACTTTTTTTTGTGCAATTATATGCATTATTAAGAATATTTTTTGAAAACATAATATTGATTATAATACAGTCGAACCTTGATAGTTCGGACACATATTGGAACAGCCATCGCCGAACTAATGAAGCATCCGGATTACTGGAGGAACATTTTGATGTTATGGATTCATACTTTTATTGTTTCCAACCTAAACTCAAAATGTCAAAAAATGTGAAATTAATATTTAATTTCGAATTGAATTGATTGATTTCAATTTATTGTTTTCTTTTTCAAAATGAATCGATTTTTATCCGTACACATACTTTGGATTTTGTTGCTTCAACAGCCTTTTCTTTTACTGATTTCAAAAGCAAAATATCTTGCGAAGAAACATTTTAACCTATTTGTTTTCTTCTAACCCAACCAACCCAGTAAATACTATAAATTTCATTTTCAATTTATTATTTATTTAATATAATAAGTTTCATTTTCAACACAATATTGTTATTCTCTGTTTCACTTAAGTCGCCATTTGTTTCCTTTGTTTCCAGTGCCCAGTATTTTCTCTTCAATTTGTCTCTGCCTTATTATACTCTTCATACCAGAAAGAAATTCTTTTTCTCCTTAAGTTCATTTACATTTTTTTTATTTTGTACATGGTTTGATTTTTGTTCTTGGTATTTCTGATTTTTTATATCTGAAATATTAAATTTCGGAACAGCATAAAATATAGTCCGTCTAGAAAGTATCCGGAAAAAAGAAAGCAAAATTACAATTATCGATATATATTTTTAGGACTTGAGTTAAAAAACTTATAACAAATTATTAATTTTATTTACTTATACAACCTCCATTTAACTCCAAACACTTAACTAAACGTCCAGGTATACCCGAAACTAGGTCCACACCATAATGTTCAGTGGCGGTAATCCAGGCCTGTAATCCAGGCTCGTTCCACTTCAATCTTCATTAGTCCCAATATGTTTTCAATGGGACTAAGGTCTGGTGAAGCTGGTGGCCATGGAATTGTTCCCAAATCGTGTGGCAGACGTATGGCATCATGCATTATCCTGCTGAAAACGACACCCCTCTGGATATAAAACATGAGCCGTTTCAAGAAGAAAACCATTTAAAATATCAAAATATTTTGCACTATTAACAGTTCCATCAACTATACTTAGAGGTGTAGCACCACGCTGAGATATTGCTCCCCAAACCATTATTTTAGTGGGAAATTTTGAAACTTGAACGGTAACATTTTCTTTTGATAGGATTTTTGGGTGGTTTCCACCAAGCTGGAAACAACTTTCGTTAGAAATAAAAACATTACATTAAAATTATCTTCTTGAAACGTTGACAAAAATCCATTCTTCGCTGCCTTTGTAGAGGTGTTATTGCAGGGATTTTTTTGGCTTCCTTGATATGTAGCCTTATGTTTTCAGTGATATGCGGACGGTTTCTGGACACACTTTTAATTTTCGCTGAATTTCAAGTCTGTTAGCCAATTTGCGAAACCCTAAGCGCGGATTCTGTCGTCTTAATGCGACTAAAGCGTTTAAATTGTTTTCGCGAATCTTAGGCGGTCTTCCTGAAACTGGTCCATGCTTCATATCTGTGCCATTTTTTATCCTCTTTATTGTCTTATACAGGGTTGTTCACCACATACGACACGGAGTATTGTAGCTAAACGATGAGATTTTTACAAATTGTAAGTTTTGGGTTCGATGAAGGACTATTAGAGATACAATTTAAAAATAATTTTACAAGATACAGAGTGTCCCAAATAAGTAAAAAATATCAAAGTTGTATTTTTTTAAATGGAACACCCTGTATATTATTACATTTTAGTTTCTACGATTAAAATAAAGGTAAATTTGATTAAGATTTATTATACTTAAACCTTACCGTTTTTGAAATATTTTCAATTTTGTGAAATTGCAGTAAAAATGTTAAGGCTTCATTTCTCCAAGGGTATCAAAGTTTTTAATACTAAATATTTACTGAAGTTTATTTACTGATCAGTTATTGTGTTGCAATAATAAAAATAATACTACCTTATACAGAGTGTCTAAAAATTTATTTTAAATAATTATTAGCTTCAAACGGCAATAACTTGTTTAATTTAAATGGAACACCTTGTATATTTTACGAGAATCAGATGCATAATTGTCTATCAAATTATATTATACCGTTTTTACCTATCTCTTTAAGTTTCCGTAGAAAATGCATTTTCTTGTAATTTAGAACTTATTTATCAATATACCCATGGACTATTGACATTTTAGATTATTTTTAAAGATGTACCAAATTTTTAAAGAGTACAGATACTAATATTGTCGATATAATTCGTTTATTTCATTAAAAATAAAAAACTGTTTAAATATTTGTTAAAGAGGACCAATTAATATGATTCCAGTATTCAAACTACATTAACTGACTGTTTGTGTTGATTAATCATAATTGCTCCAAATACTAAAAAACTGAATTTTGTATGGGCATTAGACAGTGTGATAAAAAGTAACACCTTAAAAATGATATTTCATTTTTTAATAAATGCTTATTTATAACAACAGAGACTTTAATTTGATAACTTATTATTATATCAATTTCTGACTCAAATCCACATTTATTTATAATAATTTATTAACGAACACAATTAAGTATGTAATTAATTAGTATATGGGCGGAAATAATGGTGTTATATTTAATTAATGGTATACTCTTTTTATAAAGATTTAAATAGTTTTCTTTTGCATACAAATGGGCTAGTAATATTATCGTTTTGCTAAAAACGATAATATTACTAGTCTGTACATTTTGTACATTTGTTGCTTTAAAAACAATCTAAAATGTCAATATTCCATGGATATATTGATAAATGAGGTCTAAATTATAAGAAAATGCATTTTCTACGAAAACTTGAAGGGATTGGTAAAAAATGGTATAATATAATTTGATAGACAATTTAATTGTGCATCTGATTCTCCTAAAATATACAGGGCATTCTATTTAAATTAAAGAAGTTGTTATTGCGGTTTGAAGCTAATAATTATTTAAAATAAATTTTTAGACACTCTGTATAAGGTAGTATTATTTTTATTATTGCAACATAATAACTGATCAATAAATAAACTTCATTAAATATTTAGTATTAAAAACATTGATACCCTTGGAGAAATGAAGCTTTAAAATTTTTACTGCAATTTCACAAAATTGAAAATATTTCAAAAAACGGTAAGGTTTAAGTATAATAAACCTTAATCAAATTTACCTTTATTTTAATCGTAGAAACTAAAAATGTAATAATATACAGGGTGTTCCATTTAAAAAAATACAACTTTGATATTTTTTATTTATTTGGGACACTCTGTATCTTGTAAAAATATTTTTAAATTGTAGCTCTAATAGTCCTTCAACGAACCCCAAACTTACAATTTGTAAAAATCTCATCGTTTAGCTACAATACTCCGTGTCGTATGTGGTGAACAACCCTGTATACTGCCCTTTTTCCGAGTTCAGTCAATTGCACTAATTTTTTAACGGTTCGAACACCTTCTATACAAATATTCCACCTTTTTTTTTCTTGCGACATTATTACTCAAATCTTAAGCCGGTTTACAATCAACAATATTTGACAGATGGTGTTGTTGCCATGCGATTTTGGTCATAGCCTACTATCAGCACAACCTACGTGATGGATTACTGTTGTCTTAAGAGTGTTACAGGAAAAAATACATATAAAATTCCGGATACTTTCTAGACGGACTATAGAATGGAACAATACATATGGAACAGAAATGTTATGTATCCCTCCTTCATTCTCAATGCAACCAATCTTATATTTCTTCAGCAAGAGTCGTTTAGTTGGCTTAGCAACACTTATAAGTTTTTTAGCGGTACTTAATTTTACGATATTCCCGACTCCTGTACAGTACGTCTGTCCGTTCTGTGGCTACGGGGTATCCGTGAGAGGGGAAACGATATTCTCTCGATGTTTTTCGTAAAAAATTAGACGACGCGTCCCATCAATAAAACTTCGACAAATTTGCAAGTAGCCAATAAAATGAGTGGGCGGAGCGATTTGCGGTGACGTACTCGTCATATCGACGTATAAAATATATTTCTGTTTATTTAAATGTTTTTTGTCCGCATTCCTTTCATAGACACAGATCCAGCAGACGAACTGTACTATAAAGAAAATACTACATACTGCCTTTGATACTGCATCTAACCGTCCACTGTCCCAAAAAAAAGCGGACTTTCAGTCATTTGTATTTGAATTTTGTTTGCATCCGGAATAAAACGGTAAAAATATCAAAATTGTCCGGTTGATAAGAGACGCTGAACTAATGGAGTGTCCGGTTTGGCGCCTGTCCGATCCGAACTAGAGAAGTTCTACTGTATATTAATTAAATTAAATATCTTAAAAAAGTTTTATTTTACTGACTGTAAATAAGAGTTTTAGGGCGAAATTTTAATGCATACTTATATATTATTTTATGCTGTTCTGATTTATTGTGGGTTATTATATCGGGTTATTTTATTTGGTATTTTGTTTTTATCCATAAGTGGCTGTTATGTATAGATATGAACCTTGGGATAATTCTGAGTCTTTTTTTTTGAACGAAGAATTATTCCACGAACAAATTATTATGTATCTATGTGTTATATATGTTTATATTTGCTACTTCTATAAAATAAATCTTAGAAAATTAATAAACGTTTTTTTTTAATTCTGTCTCTTTCTGTTGTAAGTTCAACTACTAGGAGTCTACGTTAACATGGATATGGACAAGCAAAAGCAGTGCGTTACCGCAGCACGGATGCACCCGATGTTTTTATGCCGCCGATGCGGTATTGCCAGTTCCGAATTATTACAGAACTATGTAAGAAACAGTCCATGTTATTTTATAGGATCAATTTTAAACATCAACATATAACTGTGTTTTAGAAAGATTTGTATTATGCAGCTAATTGGACTTTTGCTTGTCTGTCCTCCTTATTTGTTTCCAAATGATTTCATTTATTATTTTATTTGACTGTAAAATCATTTTGGCACATAAAATCTATTAGGCAGTGGCAATTGGCAATCTGGCAATATTGTGTACGGTTATTGTTTTAGCTAATTCGCCAGGAGACGACACTAAAACTCACGATACCCTAGACAAGGAAAGAGAGTCTCTCTTTCCTTCTCTAAGGACAAAATACTCGGAAGCTAAACCGCGCAACCGCGGTTTACGTCAAACTCAGCTAAACTTTACCGCTGATGGACTTTGTAAACAATGGCACTTTTATAAATATCAGAGTAAATATGGCCCTATTTAAAAACAAAGTGAAAAACTCATCAGCATTCCTGTATTTTTAAATTATACAAAAAATACTAAAAGCACTTTAAAGAAAATTTGCAATTTGTGAATGTGTTTTGGGGATCCAGCGATTCATAGACAACTTTGATAATTAATATTATAGACCGCCAGTCTATTGACTGGATTATTTTTAATTTGTGTTGTGGTTCAATAAAAATCTACATATATGTATAAAATGCTAATGTTTATCTGTGTCGTCTCTACTGAAGTAACGAGTTGCTCTAGAAAGTTGCTTTTTTTACAAAAAGATAGCTAATTGGCTCTTCTAAAAACTGTCGTCGCCGGAATTTTTTGTTTCTCATTTAATTAAAAAAAAATAAAAAGTATTTTTTCCTTATGTCGTGGCGGATGCGCCAGACTTCAACTAGTATCATAAGTAAATTTTATATACGTACATTGTACATATATTATGTAATACATATGTTTTTTTTTAGTTTTTTCATATTTTTGATTCTGTTGCCTACCCTACTGTAAATGTACTGCACGCCACTGGTACCTCGCCACCAGAAGTATCATTTTACTCCTAATAAAACAGTATACTATTATCGATACATATGCGACGGACATGACTTTATGTGAATAACTAATAAATTTTAGCATGGTATTGATTAACAAAAAAATAAACCCCTAATTAATATCTCTGATAAATACCTACTTACTACTGATAACGTTTTGTGTTGTGTCTGCATTAAATGACAGATAAGGGAAATAAAACAATGTTATCAGTTTATCGTCGAGTCAGTTTTATTTACGTAGATTATGTTTGTTGGCAAAGTCGATATCGTTTATGGACGATATGTGCACCGTTCGCGACACTTTCTTCTTGGGAATCACCTGCGAACGGGAATGGAACTGGTATCGATCGGTTTTCGATTTGGAGTTGGGCGTATTCGTCGAATCAGAGTTCCTGAAAATGAACAAATGACTGATTCCTTATCAACTATATTTTTATGTTTAGTGTGGTTGAACCAAAGATATCTAACACTTTTATACAGGGTGTCCCAGAAATAAGTGCAAGTATTTTAAGGGGTGGTAGGTCTGGCCAAAACAAACATTTTTCCAAATAATTTCTGAAGTAACATCAATATTTGGATGAAAATTGGTGTCTGGGAGTTTTTTGATATGAGAAATTTGATTTTGATATCAATATGACTCCTACTTGTAGAGGGCGCCACCTACATATTTTTAAACTGGTTTGAAGAGTAATAACTTTTTGTTCATACCTGTATAAAATTACTTAGTAAAAAAATATACATTTACGACATTTTCTACGTAAGAAATGTCTCTTGGTAAAAATCACTACGAGTAGTGGTATTCGAGATATTTGGAGTCGAAATTATCAATACCTGTCATTACTGACATAAATTAAACATGTTGACATAGTTGTTAGATTGAAATAATAAATTTGAAATGTTTTTGTGTCAAAAGTTCAACAGAAACTGTTTTATCATCATTTTTTCGCAGAAAAATTTATGATTAATTTAAAAAATAAAAATTTCACAAATTTATTATTTCAGTCAAATAATTTATCTAACCAACGTGTTTATTTTTTGTCAATAATGACATGTATTAACTACTTCTATTATAATTATAATAATCTTGAGAACGGTTGCTTGTAGCGAATTTTACCAAGAGACATTTATTACGTAAAAAGTAACGGAGATGTATTATTTCCTCACTCAGTAGTTTTATACAGGTACGGACGAAAAGTCATTACTCTTTAAAACAGTTAAAATACATGTAGGTGGCGCCCCCTAAAAATAGGAGTCATATTGACATTAAAATCAAATTTCCCACGTCAAAAAACTTCCAGACACCAATTTTGATCCAAATATTGACGTTACTTCAGAAATTATTTAGAAAAAACGAAATAAAAATGAAAGTTCTACACCCTGTATCTCCGAAACTAAGCATTTTAGGACATACATTTATACGAACTTTTTTACTTATTTTTATCTGCAGAATATGCTGTCAAAGTTTCCGGAATACAGTTCGGACCACCCTGTATATCAAGGTATTATTACTTTCTACGTTAATGAATAATTCATAATATGTCATTCTGAAATCAAATTAATTATGAAGTTTATGGTTGCTAGGGTAATATTATCGCTTCAGTGTTAAAAGTAAATCATGTGACTTACTTTTAGCACCAGTGCTAAAAGTAAATGACTTTTACCATCAGTGACATAATGTCACATTTTAGGCACTGACAGCATGCGTTAAAAATTACATTTTTACTGACGTTTGTAGAAAAAAGCTATTACGAGTATAGGGGTGAGCCACTTTTGAGACGCACCCGGTATAACCTCTAATGTATATAACCACATTGGTATATTCTTTGTTATCAGGTAGTAATTGTTAATTTTGAAGTTTAACTTGATATAATAGCTTTGTTCGGGTTCTTGTTATTACCGATTCTGAACCGTCCTAGAATTCTGCTGCGCATGCGCAAATGAAATAATGTCTTCATATTTCCTTACGCATACGCATCACAGTTCTAGGACGGTTAGGTAATAAGAGAAACCCGAAGTAAGCTAATGTCATTTTAATAGAACGTTAACGGTTTTTGTAGACGTATCTGTTTTATAAAAAAATAAAGTGTTCTCGAATAGTCGCATTTAGATATTTTAAATAGTTTTTTCTTTGTGTTTTTTTTCCGACGACGGAAAGAGAACGTTAAGTATTTTTTTAGTCCGTTAGGCAAATTTGTTTATTAGTAAACCACTGCTGACAATTAGTCTTCGTTGGGTTAACGCAGAAGTGTTTACAAAAAATAAAATTTTATTTTGTAGATTTTCTTACAGTGGCGAAATACCATAAGACTTTTTTTGGAGAGACGAATCCGCCATAGAGGCACAGATTAGGTATACTATATCTATACAGATAAAAATCTTATCCCTAATTCGTGGTACGAAAATTGTTTTTTATGACAATGTGCAAACGAGTAAAATTTCCTGTGCGCAAAAATTCGTACTCGCGTAAAATAACAATAAACAGCGCAATAGAGAGATATCGCTAAACCGAATAGTACATGGACGTTAATAAGGCCAGGTGTTATTTCCTTTACGTGAGGTGGTATTAACTCTCTTCATTTATAGTTATCGGATCGGAAAGAATTCTGTTCGCGTCGCGTCCGCTATTTAAACTTAACCTAACTTTGAGTTTAAAACTTTGAAGTTGTTTTGTTTTTACTAGGTATTTTAAAACTAAAGGGCTAATGTGCTTATTTCCAGTTTCTAGTGCTTTATTGTTCAACGTCTGCCAGTGGGTTTAGGGCAACAAGCAACAAATTCTCTTAGAAGGGCTATCGACATCTGCTGTAAACCTAAGCCTCTTTATAGGTTCTTTAATATTGGAAGAGGTGGAATCCATATTTTGTGCCATATTTATTTAACTAAAACTAATCCCAGCCAAATATCAAATTACTTAATAAAACTAAAGTAATAATTCAAAAGAATTCAAACATAACCTAAAATAAAAGATCTAGCCGGCCGGCCCCGGTTGTCAAATACCCGCACATGCCCATTTAAGCAATTTTCAAACGTTATTTAGAAATAGCGCTTGGTGTAATTGATCCGCAAATTTCGTCAGGCGGTAACGTTATTAGCAGGCGTTGCGTTAAAAATTGACTCGCGCATATCGTAACCATGATAAGGTACGCGTAAATACTGCATGACGCTATTCGGTTTTCCGATATCTCTCTAATGGCTGTGCCGGTCAGGCGCTGTGCACAATTTTAGAGGCCATAAGTGGGCGTGCTATCTGCGCAAACTAGTAACCTAACTAGTGCCCGATTCCGAAGATTGGAACCACGAAAACTAATAAAGAAAAAACAAAGTTTATAATCTGTATAATCTGTGATAGAGGTATAGACATTTTTTATTATTCTCATTATTCGAAAATAGAATAACGACACGTGAAAACAAGTTTAGTTAAAGAATGAAACAAAATTGATTATAAAATAAAATACAGTAGCACAGATTGTATTTTTACCTTGACGATTTGAGTATGAGTTCAACGCTCCTCTTTAAGCTGCTCTTCTTCGACCTGTCACTCTTATCAGTTTCCGACGTGTTGCTCCTTCGATGGTCCTCTACAATCTTCGATATCTTGTAATCGATCAGAGGCAAAGACGAGATCTTTTTGTTTATCTCGCTTTTCCGTTTCGCGGGGTAATACGGTATTTCTATAGAGGGCGTTTGAGACTTTGAAGACTTGATGCTGCTTTTGCTGTCGCTTTTAGCGCTACCACTGGTCCTTTCTTTACTCAGTTTGTTTTTGAGCTAGAAAAAAGTCGGATAAATACAGTTAAATATGTACTAAATATAATTGAGGCTGCAGATATACAGGGTGTTTCTCAAAAGTGGCTATAACTTTTTTATTTCTTCAGATAAAAAACGAGATTTTAGTACATTAGTATATGACATATGACTTAAATGAGGATTCAATGAACCTTTGATTTTTAAATGACACCCTCGGTATTTTGTTACTTTATTCTATAGAAAATGACACTCTGAATAGGATGATATATCATCTGTCCCCTTGACATTTTCCCCTATGGTTTATTTGAAATTGTAACGTGCGGTTCGTAACGACAATATGACTCGAAATACCAAGTGTGTGGCACCAAATTATTCGTAAAAATTGCTTTTTCCAAATATGCTAATGAGCCACTATCTTTCCATTTGGAAAAAAAATTAGTTATGATTAAAAATACGGTTTGGGTATCTTTTAACTGGCCAGAACAAGACATATAAAACCTTAAACGATCAAATATATTTTTCCGACCGTCCTTGATTAAAAATGAGTGTTGTTAACACATCTATGGCACTCTAGATTGAAATTTAAAATACAACTTTTTAAGCGAAAGTGTAAAAAATTGACATGTCACTCTATTCAGAGTGTCATTTTCTATCTCGAATAAAGTAAAAAAATACCCTTTAAAAATCAAAAGTTGAAAATAAATCAATTCTGTGATATTCTATGACGAAGAATATAAATAAAACCATGTTATACTTACATAGGTGGAATTTATAACTCCAATGTTGTTGAGATTTACATTTTGTTTGTTAAAATCTTTCGATTTACGGTATTGTTTATAATTGCCTTCCATAGTTGGTTCAAATTTATACCTAAAAAGTAAATATAAATTATTGGGTGATGGTCCACTTTAGGTACGTCGTCAAGCTTGAAGTTATTGATGTGAATTTGATATTAATATGTTCTACAATTAATGTTTTAAACGTTTTAAGTACGGATCGTACGGATACTCGGCTAAATGTTTCAGATTTCTGCAATAAAATTATTTATTTTTTGAGGTTAGAATATAGCTTTCTTTATTAAGTTTAATAAAAGTGACAAGGACGACGCAGATTTAGGTTTATTTGTCTTGCTCACGTCTGCGTATATCGCTGGCGGTAACGATGAAATATTGAAAATTGGGATTTTTTTTATTTATACTTTCCTATTAATTTTGAAAAATAGCGGTAGCGATATTAAGCTGATAAGAATAGATATTATATTTTGATCTGTGTTAAAGGTTGAGAAGAGGATCATAATGGTAAAAACGTCCGCCGTAACTGAGTTTTGATTGCATTGGTTACATTTTTTTGGGGGGTTTGTTTTTCGTGTTATTTATGGACGATCCTGTATAGAAAATTCTAAAATTTTGAGGTACCTAAAGTCCAGCAGACCCAATTATTGATTTAAAGACTATATCCGAAGATATTCCTCCTTGAAGTCAATAATCAAATATTTATTACAATTGTTATTACAACTGTTTGTCAACAAAAACGCCTAAAAATATAACCAGACATCAAAAATCAGGATTGCCAGATTGTTATAGCTAAATTTCGGGATAGTAAGCGAGGACAAAAAAAAAGAAAAGATGACGCTCCAAAAAATAACACATCACCACTCCCTTCCACACTTTCAGGAATAGCGTATAGTATATAAAAATTTTCTCGGAAATCCCGGACGCCTGGTAACCCTATATACGACCAGATTAAAATTCACATCAAATAATACAAGAAGTTAAAAGACATCCATTCTTATTTTATTTTGCTTCTATAATTGCCCATGTGTCATATAACCAACATTGTCATTTTATTTTATTGTTATTTTAATTTGCTTTATGAACACCCCTTAAAATCTGTCAACCACTTACCGTATATCGTCGAAATAGCAGTTGTTCAACAGCCGCTTGACATTTATTCTTTTATCGTGATCGTACTCGATCATCAGTTCTAAAATACATCTACCCTGTCGAGTGATGTGAGGTAATAAGGGGTGAACACCAGTACCTCTTTCCTTGGGGAATACTATACAGTTTCTAGACCTGCAAAAAAATATAAATGTATGCTCTTATAATATAAAATATACTGTATAGTTTCACAAAAAAGTAGCTGCTAAAACTGCAAGGCGTATCTATCTATACCGATCCGTGGCTAACGTCAAGGCCTGACTGTTTTGACAAGAAGTGTCTAGTCTTAGCAGTCAATTATTAAGCTTGACCAATCAGGTTGGTTAGCGTGGTTATCTGGAGTGTGTTAATTCATTTGTGTTGACAGTTCTACCGAAGTGGTCCAGAATTAGTAGTCGTAAACAAACCAATTAAAAATAAACAAACCATTGTTTTCATTAGTTTCGCAACAAATCTGTGTTTTTTACGCGTTTCTATGCTAATAAAATTATATTAAATAATTTTGAGTGAATAGTGAACTATCTTGATCCGATTCATAACATCGTACCCGCGAAAAAAACCATACTTTCTGTAAAAATTATAGTAACACCGGCGATGCCGGCTGTGTGTCCGGACTAGGAAAAAGTTTTGGAATTTATATAAAAACATAATTAATAGCGTTAGTGTTAGTGTATAGTGTTAAACCAACGTAAGTGACGTGTATTTTTATGTAAAACAGTTTTCGTTTCTTTATTTTTACTTTATGAAATAAAAAATTTCGCGACATTGTTCTGTGACTGTGCCTTGTAGCAGCAATTATAATAAGTCCTCAGGATCTGTCTACATTCTCTTTCCCAACAATATTAACTGTAACTAGGTCACGTCCAAAACCTACAGAACATGCTGTGCCTACAATTTTTCCAAATCAACCCTCTTATGGACCCTCTGTGCATGTTCCCATAAAGAGAAAACGTCCCGATGAAAGAAAACAAGATTTGGAAATTCAGGATGAAATAAATATTGAAAAGTATTATTATTATTATGAAATGGCAATATATTTTAAAGAAATTAAATGAATTTGTACTTTATTTCAGTATTTTATATAAAAAAATTATATCTTTATCTTTTTATTTACGATTTATGGAGATGGTACAAATTACTTAATGTTAATAGTTAATTCTATCTGATATCCACATTTTTTAAATATGTTAGGCAAATTTTTACAATTATTTTTAATTAAACTTTAAAATGTATTCTGCCGTTATCATATACAATACATTTTCTTAACTTGTCGATAAACGTATAGTTTTCAAATTTTTTAATATTTGGAAACTTTTTATCACAGGTATATTATTACTAGTTGCTAAATACTCGCTAACGCAATTTTAGGACACGCTTTTATTATCTAGATTTTATTTTGTTCATCTTATGCTGTAGTTTATTTCATATTAATATTCGTGCTTTAGATCTAAATTTTAATGCTATTCAATTACTTTAACGCGATAAAAGTTAATGTTATTTTTTAATATCTTTCTGTATAACATTTTTCATATTTATATCTGGCAAAACTATCAATAAATACTATTATTTATGCAAAACCTATATGCAGTACCATATGGCACAATACAAAAGCCGGACTAGTGCGGTGACGTCACAAATCGATGTCTCTGGCCTGTCTGTCATGTTTGTCATGACCGATCTAGTCATCGAAATTGCGTGGTCTGGATTTTAACGTGTAAGACAGTGATGAAGACAGCTTAATGGAAAATCAAATGTACTAAAAAGAGATAAAAATTGGATTGATACATTTCTTCTATGCGGTATTGCCGGGTTTTGTATCAAAATTTCAACCCGCACAAGTAGGCGTTTACGAAAAATGTTACATCTAGGGTTGGAACTTTACTTTTCAACAATTAATTACTCATTTTACTACAACTGTAATAGATTATTTATATTATCTTCAATTCAGTGGTATATGAACATCCAAAATTTTAGGATGTGCACTCGTCGAAGTTCATTCTCCCAACCTCACTTCGTTTATAACATACAGTGCGAAACTAAAAATAACTGTATATACCAACCTTGATTTTAATTTACTCAAAAATTGTATAGGTGGCGATCCTACAATTTGATGGATTTTCGAGAGCTGGTCTATTTCGTTACTTCCAGGAAACAACGGCAATAAACTAAAAATATTAATTTATTGATAGGTCTAGTTCAGACATGAAAAAAAGTCAAACATACGTAATCATTTCGTAGAACACGCAGCCCACAGCCCACACGTCCATTTTAGGTCCGTAATTTCCGTTGGTCAGCAAACATTCTGGAGATCTATACCATCTGGTCGAGATATACTCGGTATATGGAGGTACACTGTATATACCTCTTACTGAACCCAGATCCGCTAATTTTATTATTTCATACTAGAATAATCAATAAAAAAAATATGTTTTAAATCAGGTATGAGCGTGTAAAAACACAATTTAAAAATAAACGATAATACCAATTTTCATATAAATTTCCCTAATTGACGTAGGTTGGAAATATAGGCATTGTATTCTCCAACCAATTAACAACTTTTTTGCTATATAAACCTTTTTTGTCTAGAGAAGCGGCCTATACATTATCAAACAAATTCAACACAGGCTGTTGCGCAACGAGTTGCCAATATATGGTCCTGTTTGATGCGTTGCGCAATTGTTTGGTAAGTTTCAAGAATGTTTAAATTCTTTTGTGCAACAGGACTGTTTGCGCAACGTGTTGTGTAGTGTATGTGTGTGTTGCGCTTTATTGTGCAATATTTTAGTTCATTTATCCAAATTATTTGTTTTTTTTTTTCGTTTTTTGGTATCATCGACATAATCTAGGGTATGTACGATAATAATTGATATAATGGCAATTGAGGATACGATTGTTTCTCGAACAATGCACATATTTTAATAAAAAGTTTGATCAAAATTTTACCAAGTACATGGGCGATGCAGTTGTGCAACACAACGTTGCGCTGAATCAGTTGTTGTGCAACGCAACATTGCGCATAGCTTTGTTGCGCAATTTGTTCAATAATGTATGGGCCGCTTGACATCAACTCGATATATTTTTTTTGCTCTACTCTTGGTGAAATAATAACACAGATTATTCATTGCACAGCCAGTCGATTTTGGCAGTTTTTGAGTGTCCGCGCGTTACCTTGCGCACATGTTCTCGTACACATGCAGGCAGTAGCTGCATCAGTCTCGGTAATTTTGAAATACGATTATTTGCTTCAATGGAGCTCAGAATACGACTTGTTATACCGGCTGCGTCTCAAAAGTGGTTCACCCCTATAACTTTTTTTTATTTTTTCAGATAAAAAGTCGAGATTTGGTATATTAATATGTAACATAAATTAGGATTGATTGACGTATTCAATTGTTTTCTATCACTGCCTGTTTCACCGGAAATTACTACAACTTTTGATTTTTAAATGGTACCCTCGGTGTTTTGTTGCTTTATTCGATAGAAAATGACACTCACGAACAGAATGACATATCATATGTTAAACTTTTGACATTATATGGTTTATTTCAAATTGCAACATGCAATTCATAACGACAATTTCATTCAAAATACCAAGTGTGTGGTACCAAATTATTCGTAAAAAAATATTTTTTCCAAATATGCTAATGAGCCACCCTCCTTCCATTTGAAAAAATGGGATATGATTAAAAATACGATTTGGTCATCTTTTAACCGGCCTAGACAAGACACAAATAACATTAGATAATCAAATTTATTTTTCCAAGGCTCCTTGATTAAAAATTAGTGTTTTTAACACAGCCATGGCTCTCTAGATTTAAATTTAAAATTCAATTTTGTTTTAAGCTAAAATGTCAAAAGTTGACATATGATATGTCATTCTATTTAGAATGTCATTTTCTATCGACTAAAGCCCCGTTCTCAGAACGACGTCGTGTCGCCAGCGACACTGATTGACACTTGACACTTCAAACAACCAATGGGAGCTGTACTAAATTTAAAATTGACAGCTGTTTGAATTTTGTACAAATCTCATTGGTTCTTTTGAGGTGTCGATGTTCTGAGAACGGGGCTTAAAGTAAAAAAATACCGAGGGTGCCATTTAAAAATCAAAAGTTTAGTCATTTCCGGTGAAACAGTAAGTGACAGAAAACAATTGAATACGTCAATTAGTTCTACTTTATATCATATACTAACACACCAAATCTCGTTTTTTTATCTCATAAAATAAAAAAGTTATAGGGGTGAGCCACTTTTGAGACGCACCCGGTATAACATAAGATATGCGAATATCTAGAAATATCTAGGCAGGTACACAGTCGAGCCGTATTCCATGTAAATGATCGTACTCGACTGGCTGTCTTATAAATTGGATGTGATAAAACCATAAACTATAGGTACTGTAATTATAGCCGGTCCAACGACTTAAGGAAGATTTCGACAGACGATATCCAAAAAATTACAGAAAACACAATTTGACTGTGAATTAAAATGGCAGACACAACTGTCACTGTCAGGGATTCTCCCATTCGACAGATTATAGATGGTGTTATGTTGAAATTCTCAAAATAATGATAATTTTCTCAATAGAATTAACTGGCAGAATATAATTATTAGTACAATTAAGGCCAAAGTTACTTAACTTACTTTTTTCATACGATACAATCGTGTTGATTCAGTAGAGGGGAATTTGATCAAGATATTCTCAGGTTTCACATCGCGATGGAATAAACCGTTTCTGTGTAAATGTTCCAATCCTCTCAGTAACTGATACAAATATTCCTTAGCTTTGGTCTCAATCAAACCCCTAAAAACGATAAAAAATTCAATAATGAATACTTCTCTGTTAATATAGTGGTAATTTTGTATTTGTAACGTAAGAATTTGCTATTATTTACTTCGTTCATTTAGTAATAAATAAAATCTCTCGCCTTACTTGATAAAAAATGGATGATAAAAATTAATAGAATAATTTCTTTAAAAATTCTAAAATCTATAATAGGGTTTTCTTCAAAATTCAGGCTAATAAACCTTGCAATGGTCTTTGATATACACAGAGTGTTTCAAAATTAAATGTTCAAATCACTGGGCTAAACAATATACAGGTTGTTAAATTGTTTATTACTCGCGGCAAGAGCTTTATGGTTGAAATATGGTAACCTCGACCCGCTCGTCGATAGACGAGTCGGCAGAAAACCGTATAAGTGCATGCGTTCTCAATAAGTAGTGTTGCCATTCTGTTCCTCTATAAGTAACTGTCAAGTTAACAATCTGTGTAGTATTCCATTTAAAACATACAATAGTGCAAAATGTTTTATATTAACAAAAATATTTTAAAAATGTGCGCAACTATTGCCCATGTTTTATAAAAAAAAAGGAGATGAAAATCTCAAACCAGACACATGATATAGATTTTTTTTTAGTTTTTTTTTGTCATACTGTATATATGCAACTTTAAAGTGACCCTACCTTGGATTTGTACTGGCTTTTTTCCTAGCCTTCAAATGATCATATAAACTCATATCCATCAGTTCAAAAACGAAGGTTACCTGACCTGAAAATGAGTCGCTGTATATTTAGTTTAATATCTATTTCTCGCATTGATCGGCCTTACTAATGGTACTCAAACATGTTCAATATGTTTACGTGAAAGGGTATCTTCTGAGCAGCAACCACTTCCGCGCATGTTAATACTGATGATTCTCTAGAACAAAAAATTCAGATACAATGCGACCAAAGTAAAAATTAAAAAGACCAAACTAAAATAGTAGAGTACTTACGATTTGTAATGTTTCTTTAACCTTTTTGCAGCATACAACAACCCCGTAGACTTGTGTTGGCATCTGAGAACATCAGAAAAAGATCCTTCACCAATTTTATCCAATATTCTGTATTCTAAACATAATAATTTCAACTTAAAAAATTGCTAAAAATAAGTGACATCATTTTATACTTGCATAGAAAGTGTCTACGTTACACATTATTTGTAATTCCTAAAAAAAACTAAAAACAAATAATTATTTTATTAAAAAAATCAATTTGTACTCTCAAGACATGCCTGCCAAAAAAAATGTCAATTTTAACTCTGAATTTAATTCAGGTACCTAGTTGTCAATTTTAAAAATATTAAATAAATTGTGATAAAGGTAAGTATAACTATAAATTTATTTCACTTTTAAATAACATTGCATATTAAAAAATTGAAAAGAAAATACAATATAATTGTTCTAAAACAAAATATTTACATCTAGGTACTTATATATTTATTTTCATATATATGGAATTTCTTATTGAGAAAAATACTTTATTTTGTACAAAGTTCAGTTTTATCTGTCTTCAACTTGATTATCTCTGGCTAAAACAGACTCTTCAAACTTAATCATGTAGGTGGTTCCTTTATGCCAATGAGCTGTTACTTTTGCTGGCTAAAAATTATGAACAACTACTTATTAAATATGTTTTGTAGTTAGTGTTTTCATGTATATGTGTGTACTGTTTACTAAAAACCCATAGTTTAGTTTAAGAAAAATACTTAAAAACCTGTTCCTGTTAACACGGCTTCTATAATACCAGCAATATACACAGCACAATTTAAGCTACTCTTGTCTCGAGGTATTGAAATAAATTTATTTACAACAGGCTCTTTTTCCATCAAATAATAAGTATTTTCATCATCATTGGAATGTTCTAACTTATCTGCTTCTTTCCCGAATAGCGCCTAAAGTATATATAGTTAGTATAAAGTAGAAATATATTTAAAATTCTGATCTTTACTTTCCAAAAAGTTGATTTAATAAAAAGAAGTATACTAAGTAGCTTCGTTTCACGTTTACCACCTCGTTCTCTTATAAAATACAAGTCTATTAGTTTCAAACCGACTTTTTGACCGAGCTCGTGCAACCTAAAACAAATTAGAGTGTATTTTATACTTACTATTTACAAAAATAAGTTGATCTTACCTGTTTTGTAGTTCTGGTAATGTCTGGGACTTATTTTGACAATACTGAACTACTTCGGAAAATAATAGGGCAAAACAACTTAAAGATACTTCACCCTTTCCTCTACTTAACGGTTTATCTAAAATACTTAAACGATTTCTTCCACCAAGACTCATTTTTGCTTTGATTTCTTAACATGAACTATTTATCAAAATATTTTTGTTTTTAATTTTTTTAGAGGTTAAATACGACATGTCAGATGTCAGTCAAACTCGCAACCAGTTATACAACACTGTTTTTCTGGTCAGCTAGCTTCTTCTGCTTGTTCTAATTGTTAAAATTTTGAAAAAGCGCATTTCCTTAATAAATGCATTTTTATAGACTATGTTAACCTGTTTTTTAAAAACTTTATAGAAATATTCAGCATATTTATGTTGATATTAAATGTTTAAACACATAAACAGTCTGTTTTTTTCGTTTAAATTTATACAAGAGAGTGAATGTGCGATCTTGAGCGGCAAATACGTCACAGAGGAGGACCGTTAAAAGAAATAAACTTCTTCAGATTCAGTTTAGTGTCTTCCTGTCGCTCAAACAGCGGAAACCGGTATTTAAATATATTCGCGCCGTAGAAATTGTATTTTATAAACGCGCTTTTTGGTGATTTTGGTTTTGGTTGGAGTTTTTTTGAGATACCATTATTAAATAAATTGGTAAGTATTTAAATGAATATATGTATTACATAATATGCACTATTCTTTTTAAATAATGTAATTTTGCCAAAAATACAATGTAAAGAAATAAGTTTTAGAAATATTATAAATTATTCTATTAGCAATTTTTATGGTATATTTATTTGCGTAAAAACAAAAAATATAGATATGATTTAATTAAAGAAATAATTCAGTTGCTACATATTACGTTCCTGTTATAATTAAAAACCAGTTGAAATAACTCCGATATTAATTATATTACTTGTTTATATTTATATTTTTTAATATACCGTAAAGCTGTTGATCCATTAAATAAAATTATAGTAATTATAATAAGATGTGAGATGTGATTATACATATAGATACGCATTAATACAGAGTAAATAGATTTTTTAAATAAAAATCTATGAATTGTTATTTTATATTGAAAAATCATTTTAAATTGAATCTATGAATTGGTATTTTTCTACATATATATACAGACTTACGAGTAGTTTAACTATGGTACAGGGTGATTTAACATTAAATGTTTTCTATGTTAGAAATGTTAAAAAAATTATAAAAATGTAACACATCAAATATTTTTTTATTCATATGTTTTTTATAAATATTTTACAATGCTAGTTTTATATATGTACATATATATACCGGGTGCGTCTCAAAATTGGCTCACCCCCATACCTTTTTTATTTTTTCAGATATAAACTTCCTGTTTCACCGGAAATAACGACAACTTTTGATTTTGAAATGGCACCTATTCGGTATTTTTTTACTTTAATCGATAGAAAATGACTCTCTGAATAGAATGACATATCATATGTCAACTTTTTTGACATTTTTGCTTAAAAAAGCCATATTTTAAATTTCAATTTAGAGTGCCATAACTTTGTTTAAAATACTAATTTTTAATCAAGGAGCCTTGGAAATATATATTTGACCGTCTAATGTTTTTAGTATCTTGTCCTGGCGGGTTAAAAGATATCCAAATCGTATTTTTAATCATATCTCAATTTTTTCAAATAGAAGAGGGTGTCTCATTAGCATATTAAAAAAAATATTTTTACGAATAATTTGGTACCAGACACTTGATATTTCGAGTCAAATTGTCATTATGAACCGCATGTTACAATTTCAAATAAACCATATGCGAAAATATCAAAAGATAGACATACATACATATACATATAGATGACATGATATGTCATTCTATTCAGAGTTTCATTTTCTATCGAATAAAGTAAAAACATACCGACGGTACCAATTAAAACTCAAAAGTTACCGAAACACACAAGAAGTGACCGAAAATAATTGATTACGTCAGTCAATCCTAATTTATGTCATATACTAACATAACAAATCTCGTTTTTTATCTGAAAAAACAAAAAAGTTATAGAGGTGAGACACTTTTGAGACGCACCCGGTATACAGAGAATTTCATTGTTCCAAAAAGAAGCATTATTTACTAACTCAACATAAAATAAAACCAGCAAATTATGAGTCTATATTTTAGTCCATTTTATTGAGTAATTCAAAGTATTGCCACGGTACAGTAGATAATAAAGTCGTATCTCCTTTTTGGTATTGTCGATATTTCATATGAATAGTTTATTTTTCATATCAATCATATCATATCAATAGTTTATCAATAGTTTTTATTGTTTGATATCGATATTTTCAGTGTATTAACCCATTCCTAATTAATAGGTCAATAATACAATAAATATTTTTTTTTTTCTATCAAAATACCAAATCGTGTTATCCGTTCCCTACACTCAAATTAGCATACATATGAATATCGGTAATATGAGTTATTGCTTCAAAGGAGCGTTTTCAATGAAAAATTCAATTATAGAAAATGGTGGAAATCCGGTGAAAACCCAACATAACGGGCTATCTATCATCCATAAAGCAAGAAAGAGATAATCTACCAAGAACAAGGTCGAACTATATTGTTTTGAATCAGTATCTGAGTTACATAAACCGTAGTACCTATAAATTATTAGGAAATTAGTACCTATATACTTTACAGATTAATTCCATGAATTATTCTTTAAAAAAAACTTAAGAATTACAATATTAAATATCTGTTCTTTTTTAGTTCAAAAATGCTAAATCTCATTTTCTTAAAATTTCTTCATTAATCAAAGTTATTCGACATCGAAATTTATATCTGACTTCAAAGATCGGACCACTTTAACTGTCTCTGTGACGTCATGTGAGTTTGGGCCACCCTGTAAAATCAAATTATAGGGAAACACCAATTCGAAAAGTATATATGTGAGTACTTTCTTGACAATTTCGTCCCCATATAGTATAGCTGTGTATATCAAGAATAGGTACTAGAAATTAAAAAAAGGTTAACATGATATTATATACGGATATTACGAGTTACGAGTATAACGGTTATATTTCAAAAACCACTCGGGGCACTCGGAGTAGTATATTGTTATATGGTATAGTATACAGGGTGTCCCAGAAATAAGTGCAAGTATTTTAACTGGTAGTATATTTCGTTTTCGGTCTCAGAAACACGCCTATGAGGTTTTTTTTGTAAATTTTTTTAGTTTTAAGTTAAAAAACATAATTTTTTGATAATATGGCGACATAGGTAGTAGATTAAATTTACATGAAAGAAAATTCAGAAAAGATCCAGTGGTTCTCAAAATTTAAGCATTTTTTGTTTAAATTTTCAACGTAAAGTAACTCGGTTATTTTGGACTTAGAAGAAATATTTCTTTTGACCAGATCTACCACCCCTTAAAATATTGCACTTATTTCTGGGACACCCTGTATAGTATATGGTATTTTTGGAACGGAAATTTAGTAAAATAAAAACACTAAATCACCACAATACACCAAAACACTTTTACTTTTACACTGGACGCGCGTTTCGCTAACCATGTTAGCATCATCAGCAGATGATTATAAACTAAAGTACAATCTACAAGTTGAGCGTTTATATACTCACTCAGTGGGCCCCGAGTGGGCGTGGCAAAATCTAGCCAACCAAGTCAGAGCCAACCGAGCGTAACAGTTAGATTTTCGCCACTAGAGTAGTAGGAACAAAGAACTTGAAGGAATTGGACCGTTGACTCTGTTCATACTATCTTTACATTTATTAATTCTGATGCTTTCATATGCATCTAATTGCCTGTAATTTGAGACTTGTTTAATTAATTTTAAATTATTAAGATCTATACAATGTTCTTTATCAACAATATGTTCGGCAACGCAAGATTTATCCGGTCTACCATATCTTATCTGAGCTAAATGTTCCTTAAATCTAGTTAATATTGATCTTCTAGTTTGCCCAACATATTTCTGATTACAATCTTTACAAAAAATTTCATAAATACCCGACCTTTCCAGTGGAGGTGTTTTATCTTTTGGATTACCTAATAATTGTTGTAATTTATTATTAGCAATATACACAAGTTTATAATTGACATTCTTAAAAATTCCTTTTAGACCACGGGATAACTCTCTATCAAACGGTATCGAAAAATATTTAGACGTATCTTTCCCCACTTGAAAAATCTAATTTTCAGAAATCATTAACCTATACCTACGTTTTCTAATTAATTTATCAACTAGTGAAGGAGAATATCCATTACACTCAGCTACATTCATAATGTAATCTCTTTCTATTTCATATATTTCGTTGGAAAGTGGGAAACTAAGTAATCTATGAACTAAGAAATTTAAACTAGCCATTTTATGTTCAATACTATGATGTGATTCATTAGGAATATATCTGCGTGTGGTCGTATTTTTCCTATAGGTATAAAATTTCAGGCAATTATTAGTATTTCTAATAACTAATACATCTAGAAATGGTAATCTGTCGTTGTTCTCAATTTCATGCGTAAATTTAATGGAAGGAAAACGATTATTTAACTTAGAAATAAAATTATCTATGGTGTCTGAATGTGTATCAAAAACAGCAAAAATATCATCCACATACCTAAACCATACTCTTGGAAAATACTCAAACTGATTCTTAGCCTCCACTTCAAACCTGCTCATGAATAAATTAGCCAAAAATGGAGAGCCACTAAGCTAAAAAAATATATAGCATTCCATTTAAAAATATACAACTCTGGTTTGAAAATATGTTTGAATCACCAAGTATGTTGACAAAAATATTTTCAAAATGTGCGTTATCCATTTTATGTTATACATATAGTTGAAATGATGTACACAAACCAAAAACCTAATGCCGGGTCCAGACCAAGCAGACAAACAACGACAAGACAGAAACATTCATGTTTTACGACAAAATTGCGACAATTCCAATACATTTCTGCGACATGTTTGTCTCATTTTTGTTTTGTTCCAAAATTCGGAGACTTTTCAATGTCCCGTCTCGAGTCGGTTAGGTAGTAAAATCTAAATCTAATAAAACTCATTTCAACTAAACTTTTTACTTGTACTTATTGTACTTTTGTCCTTGCGGTGTGGACAATTTGTCTCAAGTTTGTCTTGTCAGAATTCACCAATTTTTTGTCGCGAGTTTTTCTTGTTTTTGTCTCAAAATCGCGTTTACTTTTTGTCGCCTTGGTCTGGACCCAGCATAATATAGATCTTTTTCGGAAGGCTGAATCCCCCTGTATATTAAATGTTTATTGTTTTATAGGTTATTTTTTAATAATATCTATTAGAAAAAACACACACAAAACACAAAAGTAACACAGCGAATAACAAACTACTAAGACTTAATTAATCAGGATTAAATTTTCTTTTTTAAACCATATTACACGCATGAATAAAAGTTTAAATACTATTACGAAAATGTTAAAATGTTAAACTCAACTTTAAATTGAATGAATGTTTGGAGGATGTCAAGAACTCTTTTTGTTAAATGTTGCAACAATATTTTTTTAATACTGTTGCAACTAAATAGATTATTTAATATAAAACTTTTTTAAAGGATATAAGCATACATGAAAAAAAGAAAGAATAATTTTATTTTAGATTGGGTTTTTAAATTTTTCGAGATT